ATTTGAAATTGATTTTTTTTTCAAATAGATTGTGAAATTTTCATAGTTGATAGTTTCAGAAAAATTTTTCTACATTGTTTTAATAAATAAAAATTTAAAAGTCTATCATGAAATGTTTTAGAGAGCTATGATGTGTAAGAAATATCATTTAAATAATTTGATTATTCCAAAATGTTTACAAAGAATGTGATATAAAGAAGAGAACAACTTATTGAAGATAAAACATTGACACAAACAAGTACTGGTATATATATTTCACAAATAAGGGACACAGTTCTTGTATTCTTTTGTTGATATTGTATCAAATGAACAGTTACAGTTTTTTGTGTGTGTGTTATTTACAAGAATTTTAAAAATATACTTATTGCATTCATTTATTAAATTTATGATTCATTGGAAAGAACAATTACAGAGATTGCTGAGCATACCCTATGCTTTAAATCAAATGCTGGTTATCACAGGGATAATTATTAAAAATAACAAGCATTCTGAGAGTATTGCATGGCAATACATAGTCCCCTACCGGGTAAAAATTACATTATACTGGAACAAAATGCTAACTTGTTCTATAACTTGTCATGGTGTAAACAAAAAGTAAATATCAAGTCATTATATTTAAGCATGACTAAAAACAGTGTGAATAACTGATTATATGAGTGAATTTTACAAGTCCAAGGATCATAACATGCAGAAAATTATCAGACCAAAACAAAAATTTGAACTTGATCTGGAACTTGTCATGATAAAACTATATACCAATTATCAATCAATATCTTCAAGCATGATGAAAAAAGTGTGGAAAACACTCTTAACATTGGATATGATTAATAGTTCTCTAAAGTTAGATATGATGTAATACAATGTATATCTATTTTCAAATTATAATCAAATATAATTAATAGTTCCAAATATTTTTTCTTTCATTTGTCACAAACTAATATAGATTTGTAACTTATCTATAAAGTGTCAACAACTTTTATCTACACAATGTAATGTAATGAAATATATACCTTAATGAAAATAGATTATTAACTTATTAAAGGATTTCACTGAATAATATTTTTTTTATATATATATAGCATTCAGAAAATTTGTTAATACAAAATAACAAACAAACCTGGCACAAATTTTTAAACAATTTACTAAAGAATTTCTTTAAAAAAATGAGTTATCTCTCTTTGTATAGAAATATGGTTTAACATAGTATTCTAACATTAGATATGGATTTTTTTTATGGACCCAAACTCTGGACTGAATCATCAGAATGGAACAAAATTCTAACTTGATCTATAACTTGTCATGATAAAACCATATAACAAATATTAAATCAATATCTTTAAGAACGAAGAAAAAAAGTGTGGAAAGCTGATTTGCCAGACTGACAGATGGACAGACAGACAGACAGACGGACGGAGTGCAAACCTAAATTCCCCTTCGACTTCGTCGGTAGGGGACTAATAATGATAACTTTGATCAGATGCAATTATGTTTGCAGTTGAAAAAGATACTTGTGAGAGTATATTAAAGATCGAGTAAGAGTTTATATTATGTTTTTAAAACAAGGAATTATTTGAATCTGGAAGAATTTTGAATTCTTGAAAATTGATCAGAACTGTTTGATGTAAACTCACCCAACTAAACATGGTAAGTCATGCATGCATGGCTAAGGTGGCATAGTTAGTTTATACTGAAATAACAGTTAAAGTTAAGTAAACCTTAGCCATGCATGCATGTCTAACCCTCTTTAGTTGGGTTAGGTTTCAATCATACATTTCTCATCAATTTTCCAGAATTCCAAATTATTCCGATTCAAATAATTCCTTGTTTTAATTATAATTTGATTGATGAATTGCTGTTTAACATCACTTTCAACACTATTGTACTATTTCATGGCGATCAGATTTTATTGGTGGAGGAAGCAAAATTTTGAATTGTCCAATTTATGGTCTGTATTACATTTTTTATATACATGTATTTTTATCACAATAAAATTCTTTACTATAAATTATAGTTAAGTTTTTATTTTATACCCAATGTTGAATTATTGTACTGTTAATATTTAAGAAAAAGAAAAAGTTGGAAGATTATAAAAAGGGCAATCAGGCACTGTAAATGCATGGTAAAAAACATTATGGACCAAATAAAAGACATACAATCATCCCCTACACATTACACACAAAAAAAAAGACTGATCAACTCAAACCCTATGAACACCTGAAAGTCAAGTACACAAAAATAGTAAGCATATTCTGCTCCATTCATACAATTCATTGTGATACGAATGTCAAAGTTAACAAGCTGTGACCCTTATGAAGAGGGATACATTCAAAACATTTTTTTTCTAAGGAATCAAGTGATGTGCAATGTTCTGTCACTCAAAATGATAAAAACTTAAATTTTAAAACAAAAGGCTTGCAAAACATTTGTATTATTAGAAATTATAAATAAGATAGTAGCATACCACAACAGATGAAATGATTCTCAAAAGATTATATTTAGCCAAACATAGGACTTCTTCTTCAATTTGTCTCTGGTGAAGAGTCATCTCATTTGCAATCTTATCATATCTTATATAAAAGTTCTAATCAGGTTATCTGCAAAACATTGTTCTCTTTCTTTGTTTCTTCATCAGACACAGCCTTATTTTCCCATGCCACAACAATGATAACCAAAGTATGGCACTGACATTTAACATCATTTTTAAACATGAAAAGCTAAGAACAAGGAAGCCACAAGCTGTTTATCTTTATGGACCAAATAGTCAAAATATTCTTAATCATCTTAGAATATAGAAAATATAAATCTAATGCAGAAGTTATGATATAGCCCATGTTTGCCCTTCAAATTTGAAAATCTGTATAAAATATATAGTCATATTTTCAGTTTGTGTGTCATCACTGTACTCAGGGGCGTAGCTGGACTTAAATAAAGTGCAATCATAACTATCGCCGAGCGAAGCAAGGTGAAAAATTTTTTTGGACCATTTTATGCAGAAAATGATAACTGTTTTCGGGCATTTTCCCGGTATGCCATGCTTATGAAATTCACATCACATTTACGCCCAAACTCCTATTTTATGAATACTTGTGGACTTTATAGTGATTCGTCAAGGGAGGAGGCTATGGACCGCTCAAAGTCCCCAGCTGGTCCAGGGTAGTACCCTAGTCAGTGACCCAGGGCAGCACCGTAGGCGGTGGTCCAGGGAAGCGAATCCCCATGAAGCTCCGGGCATAATGAGTAATTACAGTGACTGCTTTGAACATGAAAAATACCCTATCTGTTTCTTACTATACCATATTTTCATGAAACGATAGTAAAAGTGCTCCAAAAGGGTAAGCAGTTCCTGCTTCTTGCAAGACACCCGTTGTGTGTCTCACGGAGGACATTCTCAAATCAAAGGAGAGGTTTCTACGACAACGGTAGAAGGTCATTTGGGACACAGATACCTCAGGTGAATCAATAGTCTTTTGGACAAACGGACAATGGGAATACGAAATCTAACTGCCACTTTTAAGTCTTGACTTATAAGTAAGGGATATAAATCTAAGATGTTTTCAAGGTGATTGTATTGAGCCTGTATTATTAAATGTTAATACTGCATGTAAGACTCAAAGTTCCTTATTAGTCACTGCTACGACATCAAAGATTTGAGCTTTAAACACCGCCCGACACGATAATCTGTAAAGACTAAAGACTATCCGTAATTCAATTTCAGAATTATTTTTTTTTTGTGAAAAAAATGTGCAAGCAAATGATTTTTTGCGTAAAGGCAGCTACGCGCCTGGTACTAAGATTGAACTAGAGGCTCTCAAGAGCCTGTGTAGCTCACTTGTATCTACTGTGGTTTGGGACATCATGTAAAATAAGGTTAAAATCATAATAAATAGTATTAGATACCCTAAAAATGATTGAGGCCGTTTGGTCTAATTCGGCCCAATAGTTAAATTTAAAGCAGGTGATCCCATTGTAGTCTTACAATAGTTACTGAAGACCCCTTATCATTTTATTTAATTTAGTTTTCGAGTTGTGACCATTTGAAATTGTTTTATTTATTTTTTTTTATTTTCCCATAGAATTCTATAGTAAACCCCTATGTTCTATTTTTAGCCATCATGGCCATGTTGGTTGGATGACAGGGTCATCTGATACATTTTTCAATCAAGATACCCTATTGAAAATTGTGGTTTAGTTTAATTCTATTTGGCCCAGTAAATTAAGTGGAGAAGATTTTTGTAAGAGATTACAAAAAATTACGAAAAATTGTGAAAAACTGACTTGAAAGGGCAATAAATCCTGAAAGGGTCAATTGACAATTTTGATCATGTTAACTTATTTGTAGAGCTTACTTTGCTGAACATTTATGCTGTTTACAGTTTATCTCTATCTATTTTATTATTCAAGATAATAACCAAAAACTGCAAAATTTCCTTAAAATTACCAATTCAGGGTCAGTAACACAACAACGGGTTGTCTGATGCGTCTGAAAATTTCAGGGCAGATAGATCTTGACCTGATGAACATTTTTACCACATGTCAGATTTGCTCTTATGCTTTAGTTTCAGAGATATAAGCCAAACTGCATTTTACCCCCCATGTTCTATTTTTAGCTATGGCGGCCATTTTGGTTTATGGGCGGGGTCATCAGATACATTTTTTTAACTAGATACCCTAAGGATGATTTAGGCCAAGTTTGGTTTTATTTGGCCAAGTAGTTTCAGAGGAGAAGATTTTTGTAAAAGTTAAAGGACGACGACAACGACATCAGACGACGGACGCCAAGTGATGAGAAAAGCTCACTTGGCCCTTTTGGGCCAGGTGAGCTAAAAATGTAAAAGAGGACGCAAGTTATGATAATCTCACATTAGTGAAATTACTATAATTTCAACATTTGACAAAAAAAATCAACATAGAAGGAATTAATTATTATTATGCTGTGGGAAGAAGCTGAATGTTTGTAAGTTGCATTCAAATAAAATTAAGAAATAATAAATTTCCCTTACCTCTGGTGGAATTTTTGAGGCATCTACAAATGTGTTGTTTTCTATAATGAAATGGTACAGACTGCCATCCATATCTGAGTACACTAAATGTTCTCTCTGTGCAGAGGACTTACTGAAATTAGAACAGGAATAAATTACAATTATTACTATTTTGAAAAGAGATAAATGTTTTAAAATGTTTTAGTAACTGTCCCAAAAATAGACAAAACTATCTTACACACACACAAAAAAGTATACCAAAACCATTTCTATTGTTAATGGTCTAGATACTAAGTCTTGAGCTCTTCTCAGACAGAGATTTTTTTCCCATGCAGGGTGAAACCTTTAACTTGGTATTTGCTGCTTCTCTACCAAAAACATTTCATTTCCTTAGTAAACATTTTCATGGATTGAGGAAATAAATTATTTTTTTGGTGGATATTTTATTTCATGGTTTTGCCAAAGTCCGAATACAGCCTATACAAAATATGTACTTTGTTGAATTCTTGCTTCCTGGACACACATGAAATCCACGAAAACTGGTTTACCACAAATAATAATGAATCCACAATATACTAAAATCAAGTTGTTACTTATAAGCAGAATACTCTACCTTTCCATGGATTCGATTGTAGAAGTTGTACTCTGTGACATAGTTACTGCTGAACTATTCTCATCACTCTCTGGTGTGTGACTAAGGGCTAACAAATGACTGTGTTTCTTCTTGGAAGTTTTACCCCCAAATGATGGTGACCACTCTATTGCAGTTGGTATCGGCAGACTTTTACCTGTCTCTCGTAGCATTGTTAATGTCTTTACATCCCATAGTTCTGTTGGTTTGTCTTTAAATCCAATCACAAAGTAATTCCTATTAAATACATACAGGTATGCATATAAAGAGGTTTCTATACAAATTGGAAAAAGAACTAACATCAAAATAAATATCTTCTGGGTTCTTTTAAGAAAAAAAAACTGATGACAGAGGAGATTGATGATAACTTAAATAGATTTAAAAAAATAAATTTAAATAATGTAAACTGGGGAATTTTTCAAAGGGGTTTATTTTTCCTGATTTCACGATTACTATAAAGTTGCAAATGTTATCCGTCATGTAAATTTAGTGTTTTAGGAAGATCACAACAACAAACATCAACAGGTTTGGCTCTAGAAATGGTAAAAATTAAACTACACAAACATATAAACCATTTCACAGTAAAGATTTCTGGCAAAAACAGCTTTCAAAGATATGATGGACATTTATCTTACCTTGAATAAGACACTCTCAATATTTCTATAGGAGATTCATGGTCTCTATTTGGTCTGACATGGGTAATTTTACCTATAAAAATACAACATTAAAATTATTTGATCACTTTGTTTTTGTACCAGCAGAAATTCCTCGTATGATTGTGCAGACTTCTGTCTTTTGAGATTCTACACAGAAAAACATCCATTAAGAAAAATGGATTATTTTCCTCCATATTTAGAAATTTCTACTGTGATGTTTTCACCTGATAAAATCTTTCCCTTTCTTAATCTACTCCATATTTGAATGAAGCAGTACAGAAATAAAGAAGAATGTGTCCATGGGACACTGATGGCATGCCCCCGCTTGTAAATGCAAGACTCAATGTACTTTTTCAAACCTATTGATGTTTTGTTTTCTTTGAAACTTAAACTAGAGGCTCTAAAGAGCCTGTGTCGCTCACCTGTATTTACTGATGCTTTGGAAATCATGTAAAATAAGGTTAAAATCATAATTAATAGTATTAGATATTAGATATTATAATGATATCTAAGATAATAACAAAAAACTGTAAAATTTCTGTAAAATTACTAACTCAGGGGCAGCAACCAAACAACAGGTTGTCGGATTCATCTGAAAATTTCAGGGCAGATAAATCTAAATCTGATAACATTTTCGCCACCTGTCAGATTTGCTCTAAATGCTTTAGTTTCAGAGATATAAACCAAAAACTGCATTTTACCCCCATGTTCTATTTTTAACCAAGTCAGCCATGATGGTTGGAAGGCGGGGTCATCGGACACATTTTTTAAACTAGATACCCTAATGATGTTTGTGGACAAGTATGGTTAAATTTGTCTCAGTAGTTTCAGAGAAGAAGATTTTTGTATAAGATTACAAAAATTTACAAAAATTGTTAAAAATTGATTATAAAGGGCAATAACTCCTAAAGGGGTCGACTGACAATTTGCTCATGAAGACTTATTTGTAGATCTTACTTTGCTGAACATTATTGCTGTTTACAGTTTATCTCTATCTATAATAATATTCACGATAATAACCAAAAACTGCAAAATTTCCTTAAAATTACCAATTCAGGGGCAGCAACCCAACAAAAGGTTGTCAGATTTGTCTGAAAATTTCAAGGCAGATAGATCTTGACCTGATAATCAGTTTTACCCGTGTCAGATTTACTCTAAATGCTTTGGTTTCGGAGATATAAGCCAAAATCTACATTTTACCCCTATGTTCTATTTTTAGCCATGGCGGCCATCTTGGTTGGTTGGCAGGGTCATCGGACAAATTTTTTAAACTAGATACCCTAATGATGTTTGTGGCCAAGTTTGGTTAAATTTGGCCCAGTGGTTTCAGAGGAGAAGATTTTTGTAAAAAGCTAACGACGACGACGGACGCCAAGTGATGAGAAAAGCTCACTTGGCCCTTCTGGCCAGGTGAGCAAAAAAGGGGCATAACATAAGAACAGTGAAAGTGACGCCACCCAAATTTTGAACTTGATATGTGTTTGGTGGCAATAAGCATTGTGTACAAGTTTCAAAACATTTAGCTGTGGCAAAGTAAAGTTCGAGTGTGGAACACAAAAGTCAGCAATTTTTCCATTCATAAAGGGTGGATAGTTGTCTCATTGGCATACCACATCTTCTTATTTTTATAATAGCTTGAGAACAGTGAAAGTGTTGCTACCCAAATTCAATCTTGATCTGTGTTTGGTGGTAATAAGCATTGTGTATAAGTTTCATAACATTAGTTGAGGCAAACTAAAGTTAAGAGAACAGAAACTAATTGCTGGTAGTACGGACAGACAGAGGGATGTACAGACTGATTATGGTTAACCTTTATGCCACCTCCGCCCAGCGGTCTAGGGATAAAAAAAAACTGTCAAATGCAAATATTAAATTTGTAATTGAACGACTTTCAAGTCTAGTATATTTTTCTGGAATTTCTCATGAAAATACAATGTTATCATATCTTATTTTAGGAAAAGGTAGGCATAGCTAAGGTTTTAAAATTTAAGAAGTCGTAAAAAAAAAGTAATTCTCAAGCCAGGAAACAGACCTATCTATCATTTAGATAAAATCATTGTTTAAAACAATATAACTTTTCACATATTACAGTTATCTGTGAAAAAAAAAATGTTTAAGACTAAAACAAACAATAATTTATCATTTAATATTAAAAGAGTACCTGGTACCACTTTAGAACAATTTCGTTAATGCAAATGTATGTGTATATTACCAATCAATGCCCTTTATGCATCTTCTTTTCCTGACCTCAAGCTGAAAATTGTCAATCACCAGAAAATTCTTTTCAGGTAAAATATGTTTTTTTTTGTTCAAAAACTGCATTAAATTAAGCAAATCTCGAAACAAAAAACTCAGCATGCAGCTGAAAATGTAAAAGCATCCAGTTGTGTGCTGAGATGTCTGTCATGTGTGTGCTCTAGAATTAGTTTTTATCCATACTAACCAGAAGATACATCAACAAATACAATTTCATTTTTCACTTGTCCTGTTGGTCCTGGATTTGGGTAGGAAAAGGACATGAAGCTCTGTAAACTGCACCATTCAATACCTCTAAAATGCAAAACATATAAAAACAATTTTAATTTCCTTTCATAAAAAAAATTACATATTTGCCTGATTATCTGCTGAATAGCTACAGATTAACATGTACTGCGAATTCATTATTAATATTTGGATACCAATTTTCATGATCTTCCTCGTACAAATCATCCTTGAACTTAAAAGTTCAAAGGAAGAGCATTTTTTCTATAGACCTGTATGCACAATTTTGTAAAAACATGAAATCAAATATCCATGAAAATACAATTTTTCCTTAATCCACGAAAATTGGTACCCACGAAAAATAAACACAATAAATGAATCCACAGTATTGCCTTACTACTGATCATATTAATCATCATACTTCATCATCTCTGTGTCTAGAGAAACAACAAACAGCACTTGAAGTATTTTCAATGCTATTTCCCTGATTGTGGTAAAACTAATGAATCTAGTATGTTAATAACAGTCTCATGAGTTCATTTTTGTTTTATGTTAATATATTTGTGCAAATATACTTGGCTGTCTTCACTGTTTTTGTTTATATATAAATCCTACATAATTTTATATCTTAATATTGAATAATGCTGTATACTGTTAACCAACTTATTTTCGAAGATACATTATTTGGTGTGTAGCCATATTTAGCTCATTGTGCAGGATTTTCGCAACAATATTCTTACCTTGTTTCATGCATATTCAGGATGACCCAGTTTATAAAAGGATAAAAACAGGAAAGCATATTAAAGAAAATCACCAAAAAATTAGAAACATAGCAAAATATCCAGGTGAACAGAATATGATATTTCTAGAAAAATTAAAACAGATTTCTTCAACTTTGCAATAATGCAACTTTTCATTAGTGATATTTACCTGACTGTAGTTGTGTGTACACTATATTCCTTCTCTATTTCTCCAGATGATATATTTAGGATTTGAATAATACCATTATTGTTACCTGTAAAATAGAATAAACAATTTAGTTTCAAGACAGTAAAAAAAAAGTGTGAGTCTTCTTGCCACCTCCAAATAGTAATAAAATGCTCCGCAGGGCGCAGCTTGATACGACCGCAGAGGTCGAACCCTGAACAGTTGGGGCAAGTATGGACACAACATTCAAGCTTGATACAGCTCTGAATTTGGATTGTGATTAAATATTTGACACAGCATAGGTTTCTGACACAGAATGAATGTGGTCTAAGAACTTAAAAATTTTAAATTGGACATTCACCTATTATGGTCCAATATCCAAAATCTAAATACATGGTTAGATTCAGCATATCAAAGAACCCCAAGAATTCAATTTTTAATGAAATCAAAAAAGTTTAATTTTGGACCCCGATTTGGACCAACTTGAAAACTGGGCCCATAATCAAAAATCTAAATACATGTTTAGATTCAGCATATCAAAGAACCCTAAAAATTCAATTTTTGTTAAAATCAAACTAAGTTTAATTTTGGACCCTTTGGACCTTAATGTAGACCAATTTGAAAACGGAACCAAAAATTAAGAATCTAAATACACGGTTAGATTCGGCATATCAAAGAACCCCAATAATTCAATTTTTGATGAAATCAAACAAAGTTAAATTTTGGACCCTTTTGACCTCAATGTGGACAAAGTTGATAACGGGGCCCAAAAATCAAAAATCTAAATACATGGTTATATTCAGCATATCAAAGAACCCCATATATTCAATTTTTGTTGAAATCAAACAAAGTTTAATTTTGGACCCCGATTTGGACCAACTTGAAAACTGGGCCCATAATCAAAAATCTAAATACATGTTTAGATTCAGCATATCAAAGAACCCTAAGAATTCAATTTTTGTTAAAATCAAACTAAGTTTAATTTTGGACCCTTTGGACCTTAATGTAAACCAATTTGAAAACGGAACCAAAAATTAAGAATCTAAATACACGGTTAGATTCAGCATATCAAAGAACCCCAATAATTCAATTTTTGATGAAATCAAACAAAGTTAAATTTTGGACCCTTTGGACCTCAATGTGGACCAATTTAAAAACGGGGCCCAAAATCCAAAAACTTAATACACGGTGAGATTCAGCATATTAAAGAACCCCAAGAATTCAAGAATAAAACCCCATTGAAATTGATCAAGAAATAAGCAATTTTTACGAAGTATCTTCTTTTGCACAATACTGTGCAATTGAATATTTCTTGCTATTGCGCAATACTGTACAATTGACAATTTCTTGCTATTGCGCAATATTGTGCTATTGGATATTACTTGCTATTGCGCAATACTGTGCAATTGAAGATTTCTTGCTATTGCGCAATACTGTGCAATTGAAGATTTCTTGCTATTGTGTAATACTGTGCAATTGAAAATTTCTTGCTATTGCACAATACTTATTAGATAATAATTTACACATCCTGTTTGGTGTGTATCTCCTACCATATCATTATTATTTGCTTTTAAATATTAATCAGAAATAACCAACTTAAAATGGAAAATTTTAAAAGAAAAAAAAAAGGAAAAAAAGAAAAAAAAAGAAAAAAAAAAAATCCCCCCCCAAATTTTTTGAACCCCCTTATGATTCATCACCCCCAAACTCAATCCCGGCCTTCCCTTTGTGGTATGGTACCTTGCAGTACAATTTCAGAGAGATCCATACACTTGAACACAAGTTATTGTCTGGAAACTAGAAAAATGCTTATTTTTGGCCCCTTTTTGGCCCCCAATTCCTAAACGTTTCGAGCAATTACCCCCAAACTCAATTCCAGCTTTCCCTTTGTGATATGGAACCTTGTAGTACAATTTCAGAAATATCCAAACACTTACACACAAGTTATTGTCATGAAACTAGAAAAATGCTTGTTTTTTGCCCCTTTTTTGGCCCCTAATTCCTAAAATTTTGAGGCAATTACCCCCAAAATCAATTACAGCCTTTCCTTTGTGATATGGAACCTTGTGGTACAATGTCAGAGAGATCCATACACTTACACACAAGTTATTGTCTGGAAGTTACAAAAATGCTTATTTTTGGCCCCTTTTTGGCCCCTAATTCCTTAACTGTTGGTACCATAACCCCCAAAATCAATCCCAACCTTCCTTTCGTGGTATTGAACCTTATGGTAAAATTTCATGGAGATCCATTCACTTAAACTAAAGTTAGAGTGCGAAAACCAATGTGTCTTCGGACGACGCCGGACGACGCCAGACGACGACGACGACGCCGCCGGACGACGACGACGCCAACGTCATACCAATATACGACCAAAAAATTTTTAATTTTTGCGGTCGTATAAAAACAGGAATGGCAAAGTCCTTGTTTAGGTATAGGAAACCCTTAATAATCACTCAGAACAAAATTTAAAATTTCCAGTGCACAACTTATCTCCTGAAGATGACTCTGTGCAAGTTTTGTATGATTCTGTCATTCTGTCATGGTGTTTTCAATAAGTTGAGGATTAACAAACTGATAGATTAGGGGTTTGGCCCCCACAAAATTGTTAAACATCACCATATTAGGTATGTGCCTATCTCAAGTCGGAAGCCTTAAATTCTGTGGTTGTCGTTTGTTGCTGTATATCATGTTCAGTGAACCTATAATTGCTAACATCTACATCATTTGGTCTATTGTGGATAGTTGTCTCATTGGCAATCATACCACATCTCCTTATTTTATATTGATATAAGCAGAAATGTTGTTATTAGTTACTAGATAAATTGGTTGCAATCATTTGTGATACAAGATGGCAGCAGACTTCCCACTTCCATTAACATAAGTCTTCTCTCAGGCACCTGAACAGAACATTCAATAAAACATTCAAAATAGTACTAACCCAAAGCCAAGAGTGGGTTGTAGATATGATAGTTCTTTGTGGTCATTGGGGGACACATTCTGAGGACTGTTACTGCAGGTGCAACACCAGACAGTAACCCAGTCATTACAAACTTCAGATGACCATGACCTATTGGAATGCTATGATGGCCAATCATACTACTCAATACTGACTTTGGCGCTGGAATGTCACTTATTACAGGAAAATCTAATTTTGTGCAGACACCCTTTGGTGTGGAAATCACTGATGGATTCTGTAAAATAAAGAATTATTTTAGAACAATTAGAGGAGTCAATATTCAATCTTTAAAATATTCTATCTTTAGTCTCATTCAAAACTTGCGTAGACTAGGACAATTTACAGCTTACATAAAGGATGTACACTTTTCTATATGCTAACCTTTAAATGTGTGTTTTTGTCTGTGAATTTGTGTTGATTTGTTGAGGCCTCATCCATGTTCATCAAATATTTTATTTCTGCCCATTTCAATGAAACTGAATTATACCGCAAGTATGTTACCACTTATTCAGAATTTGATATTTATCTTTCAAATTGCCATTTAAATAATTTTTTACTGTACTAATAATATTTTATTACGGTAAAATTTAGCTTCAATATTTTTTGTCAAGATAACTTTCAATTTTTGTTGGTGCCCCCATGACAAAATATCAGGTGGCATATTGTTTTACCACTGTCCATTCATTTGTCCATCCATCCAACAGTCTGACCCACATAGGGTACATGGTTTCCTAGATTTTTTTAAACTTTTACCTGTGCTAACAATATTTCCCAGAAAATCATTCTCCCATCTGTTACTGACAATGTTATTGTCTTCTCTGATACAGGGCAACATGTTATACAACAAACTTTACTGTTTCTCGTCACTCTCATAGAATCTGACTGACATCTCACGTCATACATCATATCCATTGACATTGGAGGAGGAGAGTCATCTGTAACAGAAAACAACAATCTTCATTGTCTCATTTATCTTCTACAATCAGCTTAGAACCTTACTTGTAAATCATGCTCAAATATATTTTAATCTTTGTGGCAGAATATGACTGATATCCTAAATTATGTCCACAGTCAAGTCATCTTAGCCACCTCTGTGGAATCATGGTAACAGGGTGATCTCAAGAGCGAGAACACAGGGGTTATATCACTGTAAGGGTTAAACTAAGACTTTAAATCTGATATTTGCTGCATTTCCATCGTTATTGGAATTAATATTGTTAAATTTTAATTCATTGTATTTTAAAGTTTAAGTGCAAAATCTAGACAGCTTAGAGTCTGAGTAATGTGTCCAAATGAGGAAAGCATCTGCTGGTGGACTATTACCTTCTACTTTGTGTGTAAGAACTTTAAAAATCAGGATCATTCTGTCCTTTAGCACAAAAAAAGGGTTAATACTCATATCACATTAACATGTTCCTGTTCTTAATAGGGTTAGAAATATTTTCCATTGGACATTTATCATCCATAATTCATTAGTGTCAAATGAAAAAAGAGTAACTTCCCCACCTCCAAAGGTGTATGTCTTTGTAAAACATTCTCAGTTTAAAGTTTAATCTATAGCTATAACATATAACAAAAATTATAAAACTCAAGGTTTTTTCAAAGTAACAACATAAAATGAAATATGATGATATACTAAAAGAAAATTAATATAAAGGGAAACCCAAACCAAAATGCTGAAAAACATCACATGTATCTGTATCTTGATAAAATAATTACCAAATGCTCCCGTCCCCTCAGATGCAGGTGTATTGATTACATTGGTTTTCCTTCTAACCCTCGCTGTGAGACTTCCATTCTCATGTAAACAAATCAAAACATCTCTCTGCCTTAAGGATAATACCTGATGATTAAAAAAAGAAATGATGAGTAATTATGTTATCAAAAATATAATGTAATAAGATTATGAAATCACTTTTGCTTTGCATAAACTAAAGTGAAATAACATTCATACAGCAACAACATTAAGTATAATAAGTTTTCCCTTATCTAATTTTTTTTATTTCCTGTGGATGCATTTATTTTTCGTGGTTAGAAGAAAAATTGTATTTTCTTTGATATATGATTTCGTGGTTTTGCCAAAGTCTCTACACAAGCCTATAGACAATTTGTACTTCATTGAACATTGAAACTCATTGTTCAATTGTATCCACAAAAACCATAAAAATTAGTATCCCACAAAAAATAAGGAATCCACAGTACCTTTTAGACTAATTTCTCTAATTCTTACACAATTTACCCTTTTCCTGACCTGTTGATTATTTTTATTTAATCAACGTGTAGTTTGTTTGATCTCGGTTCTTCATTGGTCAAAATTGGATTATGACGTCAAATTTTCTTGCTTTCCTCTGAATTTTTTATTGCGACGTCATGAAAAAAGTGACCATGCCTGATGACGTCACATAGAAAGAACACATCTTTTTTGCAGATCATCGGAAAAAAAGGATTGAGTCTGTCTGCATATTGTTTAAAAATCATTAGAGAAAGAGATTCCACCACCAAATCTAGTGCAATACGATATTTATCAACTCTCAACAGTTAAATTTCAAATATTTAAAACACTCAGCAAGCCTCACATTTTAAATTTGAAAATTTAACTGTCTCAAGTGGATAAATATCATATCACACTCGATACAGTGGTAGAATCTATATTTCTACAATTGTTTTCATCCATATATAAATGTCTGGAAGGATACAGATACAGATAATTTTATTAACCTATCAAGGTGCCCTTTGGAGGGAGATATTCTCTGTAACTGTGGTCACCAAAATTATTTTTTCCATATTAATACGACAGTGTATTACCTGCACATATGGTGATCCTGATCTTTCCATTTGTATAATGCCCACAGTCTGGTTAATTTCTAGATCTAAGATAAGAATTTCCCTTGGGTACAGTAATATGAGATGGTGTCGACATGACTGATGATGGAGCAATTGTAAACATTCATTTAAAGCCATGGATTCTATGTCAGCAGTCGTTCTAAGAAATGAAGAAATAAGATTTTATAAGTGATGGTTCCCATTATGCAGTATATATCACTGATCATGACTGTTCTGTGTTATAGATTAGCCATGTTATGTATGCAACTGAAAACACATATTGGAAAGCACAGATGTAAAAAGTATAAGAAAGAATTGTTATTTATTAAACTTTGTAAATTAAAACTATCAACATGTTCCAGTTTATCAAAGCCAAATTTTTCAAATGGTAAATGATTATTTTTGCATTCAAATCCAAATGAATTATAAATCTTTTAAATTAGAAAAGATATCACAAGACCAAATCACCAAAAATTTACGATATTTACGAAAAGTCTGATCCAATTCATTTGATTTCAATCACTACTTTTGTATTAAGACTAAAAAGATAGCCAATGAAAAAACATCTTACTTCTTTGATGGTTCCCCAACAAGAATTGAACTCATTTTCTTGGCTAGATTCTTTGATGACATGGATTTTTTCTCTAAACTACCATTTAAACTCTCTGCCTTCAGTGAGGAAGCTAAAGAAAAAATAATAAATACAGCTTTCGGTTGTTTTTAAATATCTATTGCTACAGACATTTAGCCTGAAAAAAATGAATAAAAATATTCCTCTCTATACTATCTTTTGATTGTAAGTAGCTTCTGTCCAAGTTTGGTAAAAATCCAGGATAATTTATGAATCTCATAAATGTTTTAAAAACTTAAACTGCAGAATGTATGTAATGTTGACTGAAAGAAAAACTAAGTCCATTTATAAGTAAAATACGGAAAAAATGGAACAAAATTTTATCAAAATTTCCTTCTAGATACTAGCTTTTAATCATAAACAAGCTTCTGTCCAAGTGTAGTACAAATCCAGGATAGTTTAAGAAAGTTAGTCAAATTTTAAAAACTTTAACCACAGAGTGAATGTAATGTTAACTGGCAGAAAAACTAAGTCCATTTATAAGTAAAATAAGGAAAAAATTGATTTTTTTTTTACAAAATTTACTTCTGGATACTATCTTATGATCATAAACAAGCTTCTTTCCAAGTTTGGTAGAAATCCAGGATAGTTTAAGAAAGTTATTAAAATTTCAAAAACTTTAACCACAGAGTGAATGTAATGTTTCCTGGCAGAAAAACTAAGTCCATTTATAAGTAAAATACGGAAAAATGGAACTGTTTTTTTACAAAATTTACTTTTGAATATAATCTTATGATCATGAACAAGCTTCTGTCCAAGTTTGGTAGAAATCCAGGATAGTTTAAGAAAGTTATTAAAATTTCAAAAACTTTAACCACAGAGTGAATATTTGTGAACGCCGCCGACGACAACAACGACACCGACAACGGAATGTAGGATCGCTATGTCTGGCTTTTTCGACAAAAGTCGAAGGCTCGACAAAAAGGGAAATACATAAAAACTATATCTCTAGAAGTAGAAGTACAAATATATATACAATATACATACATTGTTTGAAAATATAAAATTTACTTGTATGAGGTTTAGAAACCGGAAGAAAAACATGGATCATGGTTATTTTCTGATGCTGCAATTTAACATCCTTGCTCAAATGTTTAGTTTTATAATTCCTGATTGTTGTCATCCATATTAAAAATAAAACAGCATTGCTTAAATGCAGACCATGTGTAAGATTTCAAATATTCAAATTTTAAATATAAGTTAATTATTTATTAATTGTTTAACTAACATATTCATTTATTCTTGTAAGAATACGAAACACAGTTTTTACTATTTATTTATGAAAGCGCTAATGTAACGTTGCGCTCTTTTGAATAACACATTTTCCCGTTTCTGTTTTATGACGTTACGCCTTTGCCGTGCGCTTTGTCGTCTAGACTTTATTTGATTACATACGGATGCACATTGTTTTTTATTAGACAGATTATAGTGGGTAAGAAACCCTTTATGTATACTTTCTTTTTATTACATCAAAACTTATTTAAAGAGAGAAAACATTGTATACTATTTATTAGAAATATGCGTAAATTTTAATTATTATTTTAAACGTAATTTAACTTATGAGAGAACTTATGATACATGAATGAAATGATTTTTATTGTTTGTTTAGTTTAATGTGAACACTTAAACATGTATCTTATTATAATTTATGTATTTTTACTTATGTGAAATTATTCTTTATTTGTAGAGAATCGATTGTTAGCGACCATATGATATTATATATGAATAAAAGATAGATACATGGTGCAAACTCGCATACTCATTTCTTCGCCCATAAGTTAACCAATGTGATTCGTACAATTCTCAACTTTGGAGACAATTATCAAGTTCTGGAGGAAATTCTAAAATTGTGCCAAATTTGACTATTTGGTGAAAAATGGCTACCGATAGACGGAATGAAGACTTTCTGGACTTCGGTGATGTAAAACGGACTCGTAGTACGAATTTAGCGCAGCTTACTAAATTGTACAAAGAATTGGAGAAGAATTTAATTTCATATGAGAACGTGGAACATGTAAAACAGTTATATTCAAAGTTATGTGAAAGGTTTGAACAATTTAAGTTAGCACACTTACAGTGTTTAGATTTGTGTACACAATCAGAAGTTATAGCAAATTTGGAAGTGAACTATGAACGTTGTCATGAGAACTTTGTAGAATTCCGGGATAGATTTTCCCAGTATATCGCAAGTGAAAAATCGCATGAAGAGGAAATACCCGAAGAAAGTGATACAGTTTCAATTGATAGCCGTTTGAGTTCACGATCTTCAGTTTCATCACAATCTAGATTACGCAGTGCCAAAGCTAAGCGGCTCATTGCAGAACTTAAACTCAGGAAATTATCAGAACACCATGAACTAGAACGTGAACAGCATGAACTAGAGCGTGCACAAATAGAAATTAAATTCAGACAACAGGTATTTAATCAACGATTCGAGCTGGAAGAGGCCAATCTCGAAGAATCAGTGTGGCAAGAAGCAGTGGAATCATGAACATTCGGAACATTTCGCAAACAGTCTCGCAAACATTACAGAGCTCTATTCATGAGAGTGAAAAGGAATGTATTAATATGAACTCTATTTCCGGACAAACTGCAGCAACTGATAAACCAACGATGAACATTAATAACAGTACACAGGGAATCAGTGCTCAGTCTGGATTTTCGGATGTAAGTGTTTCTAGCATAGATTCAGCTTTTCAAAGCCTAGCATCTACACTTCATGAAGGGTTTAATTTGCCAAAACCAGAATTATTAACTTTTAATGGAACTCTGTTAGACTATAGTAAGTTTATAAGGAACTTTGAGACAAACATTGAAGGTAGAATAAGTGATAATAGTTTGAGACTGAGTTATTTAATTCAGTACTGTAGAGGTGAAGCAAAGTGTTGTATAGAAGATTATGTATAATTAGATTCTGATGAGGGTTACAAACGTGCTAGGGCAATATTGTACTCCAGATACGGTAGGCCACATGTAATTGCTAGATCATTTATTGAAAAATTAGTGTACGGCGCTCAGATTAAAGCGTCAGATATTTGAAGGTTTATCTGAATTGGCATTAGAAATGCAAAAATGTGAAATCACATTGTCTCAGTTAGGCTTTAATTCAGATATTGATAATTCTGAAAATTTAAGGTGTATTGTTAAACGCCTTCCAATGCATATGAGAACAAGATGGGTCGATATTGCTCATTCAATTAGCGAGTCTGGTAGAGAACCCTGGTTTTCTGATTTAGCTAAATTTGTAGACGAAAAATCACGCACTGCTAGTTCTATGTATGGTTACGATCTTTGTAGAGAAAACAATCAGAACAAGACTGATAATAGGGTTTTTACAAGTAAACATTGTAATAATGATACAGTTAAGAGTAAGGTTACTATGTTAAGTACTCAAAGTTTAAATAACACAGCTAAGTATGAGCACAAATGTAACTGTTGTACAGGTACATGTGTAGATTTGACATCTTGTAGCAAATTCAAGTCAATGAGTTTAGATGATAGGTATAAATTAGTACACATGTTAAAATTGTGTTATAATTGTTTGAAAGGGAAGCATTTTGCTAACAATTGTAGAAAACCAAAAGCATGCACTGTATCTGACTGTAATGTTAAGCATAATATTTTATTGCATAGTTGGTCTAAGCCCGGTTTTGATCATGCAGCTACCCAGCCTTCAGTTAATTGCGCAGCTACTAAAGGTTCTATGATTAAGAACTGTTTCGGGATTATTCCTGTCCTCGTTAAGGGTCAGAACGGTAACTCTTGCAAAACATTTGCCTTGCTAGATGACGGAGCAGATAAAACTTTATGTGATGAACGATTACTTCAGAAATTAAATATAGCCAGCAAGCCGGTCACTTTCGAGATATCTACTGTTAGCTCTTCTGGTAGTACAATTCACGGTCAAGAAGTTGACTTGCAGGATGAATAAAATTTACCTTGACTAGAGGGACTACAGATATAAAATTTCTTTCCATTATCTGAAGGAGTCTTTGTAATGGAGAAGTCTTCAATGAAAATGATACTATCTTGTCCTAAAACTGAAATCAAATAATAAAATAGCAAATTAAGATTCTCTCAAGAAGTATATATAGTAATGCCACAAACCATGAATTAACCAATTACTTTAAATTTTTGACAATAGTAATCTTGTAAAGTGAGATTGAGATTTCTTGCATCTTCAAAGCATGTTTGATCAAGTTCAATGTTACTACAATAGACTCTGGCAAATCGGAGACTTAAGATATAAAAAAATATCCCATTTCCATATACATTCAATTAAAAGATAAACATATAATCATTGAAGATCCTGGGCTGTTCCATTACGACATACATAGTACCCATGGAAGGCACTTTGAAAATGGTGTAACCCCTATGAAGGTTATTTAAGAATTTTCATACACTTTCATTGTACAAAAACTCCCACCCATAGATGCGATTTTGAAGTGTCTTATCTAGGTTCCATGTAGGTTTTTATAATTAATAACATTATCAATAATAATCTTTAAGAATGTATGCAATAACTGTTACCTACATGCAACATTTCTATGGTTAAATGGGTCAAATGAGAATGATAACAATGTTTCTGTGTATGATTTCTTCCATAACTTGGTCCCTGTGTCTGCATTCCATAGTATCATAGAGTATGGAGGATGCAGAGCTACCAGTAAATCATATGAGGCATCCTGGTTTGACAACCATTGTAAATCTGAAATATGGAAAATTGATTCAAATTACATTACTTAAAAAAGAAATATATGTTATCATATTTTAATTCTTATAAAGGACAAAATAATACTTAAAAGGGATAACAAATAAACAAACAAATAAACATGTATTGCTATGTGTTTCTTTATTCTACATTGGCTAGAGGTATAGGGGGAGGGTTGAGATCTCACAAAACATGTTTAACCCCGCCGCATTTTTGCGCCTGTCCCAAGTCCTCTGGCCTTTGTTAGTCTTGTATGTTTTTTTAATTTTAGTTCATTTATGTGTTTTGGAGTTTAGTGTGACGTCCATTTTCACTGAACTAGTACACAATTTTATTTAGGGGCCAGCTGAGGACCACCTCTGGGTGCGGGATTTTTCTCGCTGCGTTGAAGTTGTTTGCTTTTACAGATTTCTTGAATCTCTTTTTGCAGTAAAAATTAATTCACATGATATACAAAATGTATTACCTGGGATTGGTTTTTTTATTTCATTACTGTTCATTTTTAGTTCCCATGGTTTAACTATGCAGTACATGTTATTTATATATTACCTTGTATAGGTTTGTTGCCATCACTGAATTCAGTTTTTGGTTCTCCTTGTTTGACATCCCATATTATAATCAAACCATTAGAATCACCAGATGCTAATCTTAGTGTATAAGGACTTCCAAGATCATGGTGGTAATTCTCATGTGACCATTTCACCTAAATCATACAGTTCACTGGTGTTAATATGTCTTTTGATTGAGTTAAGCCATTTCAATTGATATTTTATAGTGTGTCTTTCTATGTTGTGATGTTACAATATTGTTTCAGATAAGGGTGAAGGTTTGGTACCATTAAAACGTTTAAACCCGCTGCAATTGTTTGCACCTTTCCTAAGTCAGGAATCTGATGTTCAGTAGTTGTCGTTTGTTGATGTGGATCATAAGTGTTTCTCGTTTCTCGTTTTTTATATAGATTAGACCGTTGGTTTTCCCGTTTGAATGGTTTTACACTAGTAATTTTTGGGGCCCTTTATAGCTTGCTGTTCGGTGTGAGCCAAGGCTCTGTGTTGACCGTACTTTGACCTATAATGGTTTACTTTTATAAGTTTTGACTTGGATGGAGAGTTGTCTCATTGGCACTCATACCACATCTTCTTATATCTAAATATACATGAATTTATGGATATTTTTTTGAAATTATATATGTCATGATCAAGAGAAAAAGTTTTATAAAATATGAACAAAACTTTTAAAAGGAAAATCAATCTCATTCATAAACCCAATACAATTATAACATAAAATCAATGTGGGTGGTAATATTTTTTAAAGGAGTTCTGTTTCTTCTTGAATACAGTGTTTTATAACTTTTACATAACCAATTCATATGATTGCTGTAAATTCAAAAGTCTTTGTGTTCATTTATTATTGTGATTGTTGAAAAATGTGAGATTAATTATTGCAATTGAAGGAAGTTTTGCTTACAATAATACAAATTGTACTGTTCAAGTTCAAAGTGCAAGTTTTTATTTTTGTGAAACCCCTCCTGTCTAAATTTTAGCAGTAATACAAACGTGGCAATTATTTCTTAATTCACAGTAGATATTTTATTCAATCACACTTAATCTTTTTCCCTGGGAAGGTGCCTATACTGTGGACACTTTGCAAATAACATTGGACAATTTTAGATAAATCATCAAATCAAAAGTTATTTTCTACATAAAAACTATGTGCTTGTAGCAACGTAAATTTTTAATTCTTTTTTTTTCATTTGCAATATTTTTAAGAAAAACTAGTTTCACTAAACTAAAACAACAATCTTTCATCTGAGATTATTTCTGACCTACCTTTACTACTGTTCCCTTATGCTTAACCAATACTTGTATGACCTGTATAAAGATGGCAATTAGTTAATTTTAACACATATAAATTTCTTGATCTAAACTCTTTCCTAAGAAATTTTTCAAAAGCGTTAAAATATCTTTTGAAAATAGTTAAGATAAATTACATAACTGAGAGTATGTTCTTGTGTAGAAATTCCAATAAGAAATATATTTTACATTATTGTAGTAATCAACCTATTGTTTATACTGTTGGTGAGAAGTAACATGTCTACCATGTAAGTTAGAAGGATAATAGATATACTAAAGAAGGCCAGAAGCAGAAACCTCTATAAATGGTTTATAGCAAAATGCCTTGAGTGTGTAGGTAAAGGTAATATCTTTGGTTAGCTTCCTTCCTAGCTGAACCGTGAAGTCATTATTTAAGTTAGGTTTACTACCCTCCTTTAAGAGTAGATTACTCCTACAGATAACCAATCTATCTGTCTGTAGAACTAGACTACTCGGAAAGGAGGGTAGTATACCTAATCTAATAATGATTTCACGGTTCAGCTAGCAAGCAAGCTAACCAAAGATATTACCTTTACCTACACACTCAAGGCATTTTGTTGTAATTACTACAAAAATTAAAAGTATGTTTTATTTATCTACTTATAGAAAAGAAAGGACATGGGGTATCCATTCACAATACAAAATCAGTATATGCATGCAAAAGACAAAAAGCAAAGGAACAGCACTTTTATTGCTGTTTTTCATCTCAAAAGTCAGAGTGAGGCCTTCAACACTGAGCAAAAAACTCTCATCTAACACTGGTTTGAGCAGAATTCTTTGCAAACTGACGATCAGGCCACAACTGTGAATTGAACAAGCCAGAAATAACGTATGTATAGGGCAAATAATTCAGGTAGACTATGTATTGTAAGATGCAACACCACCAACTTGGGGCCGGTCAACATCAGGAAAGTAGTATATATATATCTAAAACAAAATGGTTCCTACACATTAGTGTAATTATCAAACTATGTAGAATATATTTTGGTAATTTAGGTATTAAATGAAGGGTGAAGGACTGGTTATCCCCATCGAAAGCTTTTTGACTGATAATTTCGAATAAAACCAAAGTTTATGAATGAATTCTAAAAATGAGGACATATATTGCCTGTTTCTCAGGAATGAAGTACCTGGTATGGTGTATCCAAAGTTCAGGTAACCAGTACAGTCTCATGTGTAAATAACAGTATATTGACCCTGCCCTCCATATATGTTTGAATGTGAAAAATTTAACTAAGAAAGCAATAGGGCTAAGAATAGGTGGTGTGCGTCTTATCAAAATTTAATTACAAAAACTGGCCTTAAATTGAGAGAATGATGTAGCACACAACAGAGAAGTTATCTCAAGAATAAATATGCCATGACATTCAAAAACCATAAGAGCTCAAGCACGTGGAAACTTTCTACGGCCTCAACACAGCACGAGACACAAACTCTATTAATCATGTTAATACAATAGAAAAGAAAGGATATGGGGTATGCATCCATGACACAAAATCAGTATATGCACAGCAAAATACACAAAAAACAAATGAACAGCGCTTTTATTGCTGTTCTTCATCTCAAAGGCACAGTTAGACCTTCAACACGGAGCAAAAAAACTCTCACCACACTTCAATTCTTTGCAAACTGACGATCACGCCACAACTGTGAATTGAAGAACAAAGCCATGGAGTAATATCAATAAAATAAATCTGTTAAAGAAATCAATATTAAGTATGTTTATATCAACCTACTTTAGGAAGGAGCCCTGTTATAGAAATGAGGTAAAAATGATGATTTAACATTCTGTATCAGCACAGATTATTGAGCATTGCCTTCTCCAATAATTAACCAACCTTTTTCAATGTAAAATTATCTCCATTTCCAATTCAAGAATAATTATTGCTTTTAAGTAATGTAAATTACATTCATATGTAATCAAAATCAGTTTCAATTGTTTATTGATTGCACTATTTAATTCTTTAATTTTGGTGTACACAACAAAAGTTTCTGAAATAGCCTTCATAATGTAGGTATGCATTAGACCAAAAGTTTGAAAACCAAAATTATAAACATTCTAGAGCATTAAAATCAAAGGGCCTCGACTCAAAAGAGCAACCGAAAACCTTCTAAAGTCAACTTTGCACGAGTAATTTGTAATCTAAGTTTTACTACCAGTCATGACAGTATGGAAAACCAATATTCAAATTATTTGGAAAAAAATATTATTATTTAGTCATGTTATTCATTTGTTATTGTACTTGAATTGAATTATTAATTCATAAAACACTATACCTGAACATTTTTGGGGTCAATAATCGAAACATATCTCTGACATCCCTGTGCTATCAAACCTTGCCATCCCCTAAAAAATAATGTACATGTTTGATTTAATAAACTAATTATATAATTGATAATGATAAATATGATGTAGCCAATTGCAACATTTCATTATTTTTTTACATGTCACAAGGTGAACTGCTTACCCTTTAGAAGCAAATAAGTTCACCCTTGGAATTTGGGATCATCTTGTTTCTCTTTAGTTTTCTGAGTAGTATTTTGTGGAATGTTGGCTTTTCTCTTTTGGTTATTGTGTTATCTGCCTTCCTTTGGTATGATTTGTATAGCCCTTTTTAAGCCTTTTAAATCATTAAACCTATGTGTCTTTCATGATTTTTATTGCTACTCCTCTTTCCAGTTACCATGGTTACATATGACAACTAGGTAGGATCTCTTAGTCAGATTTTTTATTAGTTTTCAAAAAGTTATTGCTACTTGTCTTTCCAGTTACCATGGTTACATACAATAATCTATGACAATTAAGTAGGATCTGTCAGTCAGAATTTTTATTAATTTTCAAAACTTTTCATTTCAATTCTTCATGACGAATCTTATTTATGTAAGTTACATTTGAGTTTTGATGGAACCAGTCATTGGAGATAATGCATCAATTACATTGTTTTTAGTAATATCCTAAGTATGGTTTTGATTGTAAAAGTATATACATGTATGATCTATTAGGAGCTATATGAGCATGACATTTTTGTTATAATTATAAATATTTTTATCCCATTAGAAAATTTTATGAATAATCAACGCTTAGAAAAACACCAACAAATGTCCATATGTGCATATCCCTAAAAATGTGATTCCTGAATTTTCAAGATCATGATATTGCATATACATGATATAAGACAGGTTTCCATATAATGTATTTGAGTTTAAGTTATTTCCCTTGGTCGCCATTTTTTAGGGGTAAATGGTTGACTTTCTTCTTTGACAAACTAATTTGAAACATGCGGTTCAATCAAGTCTGATAAGAGATCTTTACTAGAGCATATTGATAATTCAACCAAGGCTGAAAGAATTTAAAGTATTTCTAAAAGTTTTTTCTAAAATACATGTATCATACATGTATAGTGGTCAGTACTTAAAGCAAGTTGAATTTGGCTGATATCTAAGAAGTTTGTGCTTATAGACTTCCAGCATGGCGAAAAATGGGAAGTAACTCTTGCTTAAATTGTGCCAATTGAAACCTATGTATAGCACCTTTTAGGCCAATATGTATATAACCAGGTCAGCTGATTTTCATCTGCTACGTCAAATACTTTTACCTTTGGTAAATCTATAATCATTGATTGTTTCCTGTTGATGCAGAAAAACACTAACTTCATTCTCAATCCTTCAACAGTGTAGACAATACTCCAAATTGAATATAAAAATAAGCCCAAGTGTACAATTTTGTAATGTCAGGATCCAGTGGCAAATAAACTGCATATTCAGAATGAGAACATGTTAGTGTGATATTAATATGAACCTTGCTTCGTACTCAACTAACAAGCTGAGCCGGATTTTAAGGTGCTAGTTCACAAGGTAACAGTCCGTAGGATGACAAGTCACCTGACCCGGACATATTATTCTGACTCTGCGATCGAGCCAACAAGTCTTTTCTCAAAATCCTTGATGCAGTGTGCTTTGTGGAGAAGCAGCAAACAAAAAATGTTTTCTTTGGCAAGATTCTGCCAGGGTTCATACCCTCCAACTCCCGCATTAGAGGCGAATGTGATACGAAAAAAACACAGAGGCTGTCCTTGTAATATCAGGCCTTTTATCTGTTTACTGTTTATTGTAATTGTGTTTGTTGCAATAAAATTGTTAATTGTCAATTTTTCTTTGGTCAGATATATATTGAGATATTCTTATCCTAATTAATTCCTGCTTTTCTGGATTGTTATAAGGACTCATGGAGTGAACCTCACACTCACAGTGTCTGAGTGTGTGATTGTCAACAGAGCAAATTAATTTATGTTATTTTGTAAGTCATTTTACAAATTGTCTTCTGTGGTATGTATGGAATTTCATGACTAAAGGTTCAGTATTTTGATAAATTTGATCAGTTTTACCAATCACAAGCCCCTTTATTCTGTAGATGAAGAACACCAGTGACTGTTTTAGGGGACAGTTTCATTTTTCCCCTTCATGTAAATCTAGGGGAAACTAAGTTAAATATGTAGATCCTGATGTTCAAAATACACTCCTAATATAAATTTGAAGAATAGTGTAAATAATTGATATTCGATTTTAGTTTTCTAAATATATTTGTCTTTTTAAAATTTATTTCGGGAATATATGAATATATTTTTTGGTAGAACGTGCATATGATTTATTTTTGAGGAACACAAAAACTTAATTTAGCTTTCTCCTCTTATTTTTTTCCGAATGATGCGAAAGCATTTTTCTGGATTCACCGATGATCGTAAAGGTAAAGCTGACACGACAGACTACAAAAAATTTTATTTTACAGTTTTAATCAGTTCACTTGGATTTTTCATTTCATTTGGTTATTGCAACTCATATACGTTCCTAGCAATCATATTTAATGTTGTCGAAATGAAATGATAAGCAATAGCACTAAAATAAATAATAATTTTGGCCGTTCAACACACCACTCACCAGTGCCAGACACCAGTCTCAGTACAATTTATGTCCATCCAGAATTTAATATTTTGGTACTGGCTACGATAACTTAGAAAACGTAACAATGACAAAAAAATATTGTACCATTTAAAACTTATTGCAAGAATACAAGGTCGGGTTGAGAACAGATTAATTACGGATGTTACAAATTATAAGATTTGACATCATTTGTATCTACAGTTACATTGCGTTTGAGAGTGACGTCAAATCATTTTGTTGTATATAATATATTATAAACTTGAAAACATTGTTATTTTAAATTAATTCATTAATACAAAATTGCGTATACATACATCATATTCTGTATTCTGAAACATCATATGTTTCAGAAAAACTTTTTGACGCAAACACAAATATTTCGAGGATAAAAAAATACTTTTCAGTTGAAGCATGGCAGTCACTGATAGATGGTATTACGTCCAAAGGTATGCAAAACTGACGTGCACATTGTGGCGTTCGTGATGGCTACCCAATCTAATTAAAATATAGATCTCTGATTTCGAATGCATTGACATAACCATAGACACAAATATTATTATTTCATCCATACAAATGTAACTAATCAGTTCCCAACTCGACCTTGTATTTTGGCAATTAGTCTGAAACGTAACAATAATTTTTCGTTATTTTTAAGTTTTCAACTTTAATAATTGTAGCCAGTGCCTATTTTTTTAAAGTCTAAATGAAAAATAAAACTGCACAGTCACAAATTTCTTGACTAGCTACATATAATTCAGTTGAACCCTCTAGCCCAGATTCTGATGATTTTATTTTACTTTTGGTTAAAACCAAGGAAAACTTTTCTTTTTAAAGTTACAATCAGGATGTTTCACCATTTTGGATTGTAAAGTAGCAGGAAATGATTGGTTCAAATTTTTTATGAAATGAGCAAATTTTGAGACAGGAATATATTAATGCCATTAACTTCTAAAACTTTTCATTGGAACATGTTGAATGAACAAAATTATATTATCATTTTATCTTAAAATAAGGCAGGTGTAAAGTCGCTGTGAAAGAGAACAAAGTCTGTACAATTTTCTTGATACCTTTTTTGTAAATCAGTTATACATATAATATACAGTCAGAGCTCAGACATGTCAGAAATAAATAAGTCTAATTTTGCGTTTTACTCGTAAAGGTCTAAATTTTTACATATTGTATGTTTCATGTGTTGTCTTCCTTTATTTTTAAACAAAATATGACTTTAACAAGTCAATTACTGCAAAGCAAAAAAAAATTACCAAAATCAAAATATTGACTTCTTCAAGTCGATAACTTACCAAAATTGACCAACTTCAACACCTAAGAACAAACATAAAAAGGTCAAGCATTAACATTATCACAACTTGATTATCTGTGCTCTGACTATATATACAAATTTGATAGGGATTTTGTGTAATTTAATTTTGCAGGTTCAAAAGAAGCTTCTGAAAATTGTGATGAGAGCAACCATTATGAGATTTGAAAATTTTCATATTTTGGAAACTTCCAAGCAATTGATGCTGATGGAAAATAATGAGTTCTGAGAGTAATCTCAAAGTCTTCTCGGTCCAGTCATTAAATCTTTTCTTTAATTTCAGTTTAAGAACACTGAACAGTGATGACATCGGTTAATAAGTCACAGAAACTTACTGCAGAAATTGGAGTACGACTGTTCTTATTTGTATTTTTCTAGTAAGTAATGCACATTTATGACGATATATTTTAAAATTCAATTTACATTTAGTTATGAAGACACCAAGTTGTACATAACTTCAGTATTTAAGAAATATACTGGTAATACCTACTAAATCAGCAGTAAAAATTTGTAATAAATTTATAGAAAAAGGCAGATTCAGGGTAACTTTTCACAAGACAAACTCAGAAATATAATGGGAGTTTCAGGGTCAAAGATTGAACAAAGTGCAACACAATTCCTACAGTCACTGGCTAGTTATATATACTTCAGCGGCTCAGCCATCTTCTCTACCTGTGTTTGTAAGTACTCAAAGCATAGTGCAGTGAGGTGAACATTCTAAAAAAAAAATAGTTCCTAGTGTATTACCATTCTTGTAAAGAAAATCTTTTTCATTTAATTACACAAGTTGCAGAAAGTAGAACATAGCATGTGAATCTATCTTTCTACCTACAATAATGGACAAAGGGAGATAACTCAATTTGAAATATTTCCTCTCAATGCATTCACTGTTTTATTCTAAAGTTCACAATACAAATGAAAGCAATCTTATCCAACAACAGTGCTCAACACTACTTTGACTTTTCTATTTTATTTATTAACAACTTCAAAATCAATAGAACTTATTTTCTCTGTCAGTCAGGGACATGTTATTGTTTTGGTTTGGTTGTCATAAAAGTTTTTTGTCTCTTCTTAACTTTTATACAGTTTGTAGGTGTCCAATTTTATTGATATGTGAAATTAAGAGTTCACAGATCAAAATCTCATTCAGATATTTTTTGCTTAACTAAATGCTAGCTGGCAGAATCTGTGATATATTACTTTTGTTTAAATTCATAGCTCAGTTTAAAGTCAACTTTTGAAGTAAGCTACTAAACTATCTTGTACAAAACGATTGTAAAGGAAAAATATGAAATGTATGCACATGATACTCATGACAAAAGAAATAATAGATAAAAATCAATACATCAAAGGAACAGCCTTTTTATTGTCTTTTTCAACTCATTCAACTTGAATAAATTTTTATTATCTTCAGCCAAGGACCTTTAAGAGTTCATACCTTACAACAACTTTGATTGGGCTGTTAGAATCAAGTTAAGCTGTACTCTTTGATGTTTACTAGCTATCTAGACCACTAAGGTATTGAGATAATTTTTCTATGAGTAGCGACACATATTAAAATATTAGAACTTAATGAACACTTTATCACAGACTCTCATTTACAAGTTATTTACCAAAAAACATAATTTTGAGTTATGTTCTTTTTAGCATAAGTGATGATGCTACACCATACTTTAGAAAGATCCAACCAGAAGAATTCTGGCTTTACAGATATCCAAGAACACCTAGTTATTACCCAGGATACCTACTTTGGGTTTGTATAAAGTGTTTTACTATTTATTGTGTCTTCATCCTCTGGCTGTCAATACTTCTGCAATTCAAGATAACACAAGACTAAGACTTCAGGTTGTTGGGTCCTCTTTTGAATTGTTTCACATTTTGTTATCATGGGGCCTTTTAGTAACTCGTTATGTGTATGGGTTTTGCTCATTGTTGAAGGCAGTACGGTGACCTGAAGTGGTTTACATTTTTGTCCTTTGGTTTTTTGTAGATAGCTGTATATTTAGATATTTTACATGATTTAAGAACTGACTTTCTGATAAATACACAGGAGCACAGATTACTTATTGAAATGATTTCCTAAATGTGTCCACTCCAGACATGCCAGAGTAAAGTCCTGACATAAACTTTTGGTGGCAATAATCTGACAGTACATACTTCATAAAACACCTGACAGTACATACTTCATAAAGTACCTGACAGATGATAAAATTGTAAATGAAAATTTACATATCAAATGACACTTTATACATTTAAATATTTAAATTAATACATGTAATGAAAATCAGTTATATTTTCCAGAAATGCTGATTTCAGAATTCATTCCAAAATACTAGCAGAATCATATCTATGATTACTTTTTTGTAGATTACTATTCTTGGAGTACCAACAATAGTAGCAACTGCATATTTCATCAAATACAGAGACAAAACAGACTGGCAACAGGCTATATTAGGTTTGTAAAACTTCTCTATATAATAAGGTCTAATAAAAGTAGTCAAATGAAAGAGGTGGCTCCAACATGGTCATTGTCAACAATATCAAATCTGACCTGATCTGTTTTGGCAGCAAATTTGTGACCTGACTTCTCATTTAAAATGACCTGTGACCTTTAAAAATGTTCTAAACCAAGAATCAGATCAGTTTAGAAGTGGATAGGTTGCTTAAAAGGGACCTGGTGACCTGAGGCAAATTTATAAAGTGACCTTGTGCCCTAAAGGATTTTATAGTCTAAAATAATAGTACATGCCAGATATAATAAAATAATTTATCATATACTTATAGAAAATAATGGTATAATTGTACCCCATGATAAAACTAATTTGTACATATATTTATTCATTAAATATGAAGAATTGCTTTAGCCGTGTGATATGACTTTTGTTATCAACTGCTTCCTGTTTATATCAACTGCTTCCGTTTTATATCAACTGCTTCCGGTTATTAGCGCATGCTTTTCTGTAACGTTATCGCATGACAATTCAACGTCATTCGGCAAATTCCGGAAAATACACCTCAATGGTACGTATTTTGTGTAAAACATAAAGTTGAATGAAAAAAATATTAGGAATCAAGAAAATATATTATTTAAAAATGCAAAACAAATATTACAACAAATGCATTTTTTCAAAGTTTTAAAATAACTTTTGTCTGTATGTCTTCTGCTGAAGTATATGATAAAAAGAACATAACATATCATTTTTCATATCAGACCCCTTATCAGCCCATGGTCAAAATCATCCCTCGAGTCTGTCGGCTCTCGGGCTGATATTATGACCTAGGGCTGATAAGGGGTCTGATATGAAAAATGCCATGTTATAATCTATATTTATCACATTGACAGTATGAAGATGACTTCTCTTGCATAAGCTAGATATTGCCCAGATTATTTTAAAGAGAAACAAATTCTATCAAATAATAATCAAATTTGAGCTATATTTCAACCTTACACCAATTTTAAATGTCATATAAACATGAATTGTTTCAGATAAGGGTGAAGGTTTGGTACCATTAAAACGTTTAAACCTGCTGCAATTGTTTGCACCTGTCCTAAGTCAGGAATCTGATGTTCAGTAGTTGTCGTTTGTTGATGTGGTTCATAAGTGTTTCTCGTTTCTTGTTTTTTATATAGATTAGACTGTTGGTTTTCCCGTTTGAATGGTTTTACACTAGTAATTTTTGGGGCCCTTTATAGCTTGCTGTTCGGTGTGAGCCAAGGCTCCGTGTTGAAGACCGTACTTTGACCTATAATGGTTTACTTTTATAAATTTTTACTTGGATGGATAGTTGTCTCATTGGCACTCATACCACATCTTCTTATATCTATATGATAAATAAATATCAGAACATTGTATTTTGCTAAACCTCTTCAGTCAATAGGATTAAACCAAGCGCACTATCTTTGATTCAGCTGCAGTGATCAATATCATATTTGCATGACTACGTTATAAAATATTTAGGGGACTTACAATCGGGTACATGTATAAGCAAAAAATTATGAATATGATCTTACCTAACCTTGTGTCCTCAGTTGTAGCTTAATGCCAAAGAGGACATTGCTCAGTGTATAAATGTGTAAATAAAACAAGCTGGTCAATTATTGAAGATAGATTTGTTTCCAAGTTGACTGTACTGACCAAAAATAATTGAGGTAACTAGAGTTTTGTGATATTTCAAAATTCCAGTTACCTCGATTATTTTTTGTCAGTACAGTCAACTTTGAAACAGAAGTCAACAGCTTATATATGTTATGTGAAATAACATTCAATGAAATACTTTTACATTCAAATAATATAAATTTGAGTTGTGGAGGACTAGAAAAAGATATCAATATAAATAAAAGTGTTTGATTTCATTTTAGGTGTTGTGTTGTCTATATACTTGACTGCTTCTGTTACAAATTGTATAAAGCTAGCTGTTGGAAGGTAATTTGAATTGTTAGTAAACTTGTTAAGGCTTTTCTTTCTTTTTTTTTCAGTCTTGAAGAAGTTTAGGTAGCAGTGTCATATGTTTAATTAAATTTGAAGAACAAATAGTTAGTACAAATTTCCATTGATGAAAAAAGTTATAAATTATAATTTGTTTTTACAAGTTATCTTATGGATGAAAACTGATTTTAATTTATCAAAATGATGAATATGTGCACTCATCCTAGCCTGCTGTCATAAATGGTTAATGGTAACTTGTCAATCCTGTTACATCTTAGTTTGATATTGGAATTTTTTATCCATCCTGTTAATTTATAGTTTGATATTGAATTCATAGTTGATTGACATTAATTTTGAAATGTACATTTTTTATGACCATATCATATTTTCCAGAGATAGAGATTTTAACCTGTGACTCGTTTGCCTGAAAACTTTTTCAAAAGAAGTAACAATTTTTTCGTCATATTTAGGCCCCGTCCAGACTTTCTAGAGAGATGTTTCCCGGATGGTAAAATCAACAATGATCTGAAATGTAAAGGATATGCAGCAGACGTCATTCAGGGATATAAAAGTTTTCCCAGTGGACATTCATCATGCAAGTAGAGTATATATATGTTACTTATCATGATAAAACTAAATGATAAAGAAAGTCCAAACAGATAATTTCTTTGAATAAAATTACGTCAAAACAACTCATATTGTCAGGAAAAAATGAAAGTTTAACATCCAAACAACTGATATTATTTGGATAGAATTACCTGTAAAAAAAAATTACCAAACAGCTGATAAATAAAAGTAAAATTAAAAGATATTGTTTTGCAAAAGATTTATAGTTAATTGAATTTACTGGAGACTGATGAGTCATGTTGTAATATTAAAAGGTGCAAAATGTCTATAATGACAAGAGTGTAAAAACAGATTGAACAATAGTGTCAACAGTTTTTTTCGTATGAAAATATGATTTGTATATCAGAAAAAAAAGAATTTCATGTGGATAGACAATTTTGTTATGCTATTGGTTGTTTGGGTAGGGTGACAGGTCTTCCTGTAGACTATTTCCTCATTAACTAGCAAGATTAAAAAAGTACAGCCAAGTCTTGTCAGTCAAATGCAAAGCAGGATCACATAAATATGATCTCACCCTGATCCGATTCATGTTGTATTAGCCACTTGATTTCAAGCACCATCCTCATCTGGCTAGACATATTTACACTGAAGTCTCATTATCTTTCTTTATTAACTTAATGTGGATTCATTTATATTCATGTGTACCAATTTTCGTGGATTGAGGAAAAACTGTATTTTTGTGGTTATTTAATTTTGTGGTTTTGCCAAAGTCTGCATACAAATCTATTGAATATTTAAATTCGTGGTTGACCTTTACCCATGAAATCCAATTCATGGTTCAGCTTTACCCATGAAATCCAATTCATGGTTCAGCTTTACTCATGGAATCCAATTCATGGTTCAGCTTTACCCATGAAATCCAGTTTGTGGTTCAGATTTACCCATGAAATCCAATTCGTGGTTCAGCTTTACCCATGAATCTAATTCGTGGTTCAGCTTTACCCATGAAATCCAATTCGTGGTTCAGCTTTACCCATGAAATCCAATTCGTGGTTCAGCTTTACCCATGAAATCCAATTCGTGCTTCAGCTTTACCCATGAAATCCAATTCGTGGTTCAGCTTTACTCATGAAATCCAATTCGTGGTTCAGCTTTACCCATGAAATCCAATTCATGCTTCAGCTTTACCCATGAAATCCAATCGTGGTTCAGCTTTACCCATGAAATCTATGAAAATTGGTATCCCATAAATAATAAGGAATCCACAGTACTAGCTATTTAGACTCAGAACCTACCAACAGTTTCACCATTTAATTGAGTTTATCATAGTCAAAGACGATAAGTACTTTTGGGATGTTGATTATGAAAATGGTGTAAACGTTTTGTTCTTGTACACGTCACTTTTAATTGAGAGGTGTGGTATTATATAACACTGTTAACATGCAATTTGTTAAGATTTTTCAAATATCAAATTGTCTTAACTATGATGTTAATACTGGTTTGATTTTTTTTTCAGTTGCATTTTCAAGTTTTGGATATGTTGCATTATACATAGCAGGAAAATGTCAGTGTTTTACATTAAAAGGCAGAGGTCATGCCTATAAACTTTGTATGGTTGTTATTCCCCTTGTATGGGCAACATTAATTGCAGCTTCAAGAACAGCTGATTTTCATCATCATTGGCAAGGTAATTACAATAAGATAAAAAAGGAGGATTTTTACAGCACATGGACTTGAGTGTGTAGGTAAAGTTATTATCTTTGGTTAGCTTCTTTTGGGCGGAGTTAGTTCTTAAGCAGAAAACCAATCAACAGAAGGAACAGTATATAAACATTGTGAAACCAGTTTTACAACATGTACAAGTCGGTTTAAAAATATGTTTTTAATCTATATTTAAAATCTAGTGTCAATTATAAGCTTTAAATTCACAAACATGTTTTAGGTTTAGATTTCTCAATTTCAGTTCAATAAAAAAATGTTTAAGGCCTGGCAGAACTGATATATATATATGAAAGTTACATGCATTTTGATTTTGAAAAAAATATTCCTTGATTTTGATGTGAATTTTATTTGATACTGTCCACTAAAATACACCTGGTTAAATTACCTTTTCTCATGTGTTATCTATTGTCATGCTATTGTTCATATCAATCAAAACAATGCAGTACCATTGATTCATGAGCATGGTGAGAGGATCTCAAAAATTTTATCGTACTAAGTTTATTTTTACACCTTCTGTAGCATTCGGCCGAGAAAATAAACATCAAGATCAAAGATAATAATATCCTTATATATACACACCTAAAACATGCTTGTATATTAGCTTTTAATTGACACTCAATTTAAATCTAGATTGAAAAAATATATTTTTAAATTGACTTGTAAAACGGGTTTTAATGTATATACTGTCCCTATTGTTTATTGGTTCTCTGTAACTATGCCCACTAATACCTTAGCTAATAATGGTTTTCATGGTTCAGCTAGCAAGCAAGCTGACCAAAGATACTACCTTTACCAACACACTCAAGTCCATGTGCTGTAACCATGTGATTTTCTGCTTTTGTCTTGTTTTACTTTTATAAAGTTATTTTGAACAGAATTTAAAGTGTCTTGTAGGCGAGTGACAGTTTTCAAAAAGACACTTAGCTAACGACTTTAATGCACCCACCTAACATAAGGCTATATGATATATCATTCGAAAGCTTATTAACTGTACATTTTGTTTTGCCCGGTCGTCAATAATTCATACAGTGCAATTTTCGTTAAATCAAGGTCAAAGGTCAAAACTGAACATTCCTAAATTTTGCTAGAATTAAACAAAATGCCATTTTCTGGTACTTGTATGGCATTTATTTTTCTTAAAATTATCTTAACCTTATAAAACAAATTACCGTAATTCCAAATCAAATGCAAACTTAAATGTTGATTGCGCAATATTTACAGAAAATTGCATTTCTTGAAAAAACTTCCAAAAATGATAAAATTGCAATAAAATCTAAATGTTTTCTGAGGTTTGAATATTTATATGTCAAAAATAGAATAGATTTATCATTTATAGGCCAAGGGAATTTTTTCATCAATTCAAACTGCAATTAATATGATATAGGTCAAGATGCAGCCTTCTAATGAAGCCTTTGCAGTTGCCCTAAAAAACACCATCTGCAAATAGGGATCATTTTGCTTTTATTGGCTAGATAATATTGCCAATATCGGCAGATAATGATCAACCATATATGAAAAAAAAGGGTGATGGAAGAACTTTATTGAACAAAAAAGGTGTAGTAAAAATTAGTTTTCCGATGTGGAAAGACATGTTACGAAATTTATTCTTTTTTAAATGTTAAACTGTTTGTACCATGATTTCAATATCAAATCCGGCAAATTCCTTTTAATGTTAACCCATCATTATATACTTTATTCGTTGTTTTATCAAATATGACTGAAAATTAATAAATAAGATTAAGTGTTGTTCGTCTGTCGTACTTTTTTGCCTTGGTCATGCTGTCGTCCGTTTTTCTTAGACTATGGTTTGAGACTGCCTCCTTGTTATATTATTCCTTCTTTCAACCAAAGAAAAGAAAACCATAAGGTTCAAAGCTAAGCGAATAAAAGACAACAGAACTAAGATATCGACGTAAAATATAAACTAGAGGCTCTCAAGAGCCTGTGTCGCTCACCTGTATTTACTGATGCTTTGGAAATCATGTAAAATAAGGTTAAAATCATAATTAATAGTATTAGATATTATAATGATATCTAAGATAATAACAAAAAACTGCAAAATTTTCGTAAAATTACTAACTCAGGGGCAGCAACCCAACAACGGGTTGTCGGATTCGTCTAAAAATTTTCAGGGCAGATAAATCTAAATCTGATGAACATTTTTGCCACCTGTCAGATTTGCTCTAAATGCTTTAGTTTCAGAGATATAAACCAAAAACTGCATTTTACCCCTATGTTCTATTTTTAACCAAGTTGGCCATGATGGTTGGAAGGCGGGGTCATCGGACAAATTTTTTAAACTAGATACCCTAATAATGATTATGGCCAAGTATGGTTAAATTTGTCAAAGTAGTTTCAGAGAAGAAGATTTTTGTAAAAGATTACAAAAATTTACAAAAAATTGTTAAAAATTGACTATTAAGGGCAATAACTCCCAAAGGGGTCTACTGACAATTTTGGTTATGACAACTTATTTGTAGATCTTACTTTGCTGAACATTATTGCTGTTTACAGTTTATCTCTATCTATAATAATATTCAAGATAATAACCAAAAACTGCAAAATTTCCTTGAAATTACCAATTCAGGGGCAGCAACCCAACAACAGGTTGTCAGATTTGTCTGAAAATTTCAGGGCAGATAGATCTTGACCTGATAATCAGTTTTACCCTATGTCAGATTTACTCTAAATGCTTTGGTTTCAGAGATATAAGCCAAAATCTACATTTTACCCCTATGTTCTATTTTTAACCAAGTCTGCCATGATGGTTGGAAGGCGGGGTCATCGAACAAATTTTTTAAACTAGATACCCTAATAATGATTATGGCCCAAGTATGGTTAAATTTGTCTCAGTAGTTTCAGAGAAGAAGATTTTTGTAAAAGATTACAAAAATTTACAAAAAATTGTTAAAAATTGACTATTAAGGGCAATAACTCCCAAAGGGGTCGACTGACAATTTTGGTCATGACAACTTATTTGTAGATCTTACTTTGCTGAACATTATTGCTGTTTACAGTTTATCTCTATCTATAATAATATTCAAGATAATAACCAAAAACTGCAAAATTTCCTTGAAATTACCAATTCAGGGGCAGCAACCCAACAACAGGTTGTCAGATTTGTCTGAAAATTTCAGGGCAGATAGATCTTGACCTGATAATCAGTTTTACCCTATGTCAGATTTACTCTAAATGCTTTGGTTTCAGAGATATAAGCCAAAATCTACATTTTACCCCTATGTTCTATTTTTAACCAAGTCTGCCATGATGGTTGGAAGGCGGGGTCATCGGACAAATTTTTTAAACTAGATACCCTCATAATGATTATGGCCCAAGTATGGTTAAATTTGTCTCAGTAGTTTCAGAGAAGAAGATTTTTGTAAAAGATTACAAAAATTTACAAAAAATTGTTAAAAATTTACTATAAAGGGCAATTACTCCTTAAGAGGTCAACTGACCATTTTGGTCATGTTGACTTATTTGTAGATCTTACTTTGCTGAACATTATGATGTTTGCAGTTTATCTCTATCTATAATAATATTTAAAATAATAACCAAAAACTGCAAAATTTTCTTAAAATTACCAATTTAGTGACAGCAACCCAACAACAGGTTCTCCGATTCATCTGAAAATTTCAGGGCAGATAGATTTGCCTTCGGGCCAGGTGAGCTAAAAAAGTAAAACTACAAAAATACCGAACTCCAATTGAAATTCAAAACAGAAAGTCTCTTATCAAATGACAAAACCAAAAGCTGAAACACATCAAACGATTGGAAAGCAGTTCTCTCTCTCTCTTTCTCCCTCTCTCTCTCTCTCTCTCTATATTTATATATATGATAAAGTGGAAATGTAGGAATCATCTTGTCCCTACGTCCTTTTTTCTTTGTTCTTTTCATTCACATATCCATCTGTTAGTCTAAAAAAAATGTAATGAGCAATATTCCTTCTACATCGCTTGATAGAATTAGGGAAGTTCAAAGTGCACATATGGAGGTTATTGGTGATGGAGTGTTTTTTTTCATAATAGACATATTCAAATAGAGTTAAAAATAGTAATCGCTTAAAATTTACCATAACATACTTGCTTTTTAGCTATCTCATAAAGTTAACCCCAATCTTATTAAAATGTAGATCTCTGATTTCGTTTTATTCTCATACGACTTATGAGCAGGCGAGTCGTGATAGATCTGAATTTTAGTCAGATTGTTTTAGACCATGTTTTTAACACTTATACATACCATTTTGTACGGTTTATTTTTTCATGTCAACTTATATCATTTATTATTGTTGTGAGATCCAGACGGACAAAATATGAAAATAAAGTGAGAAAATCACCAAAAGTCGCTGTCAGATCAACAACAGAGGGCTTAGTGCACAATAAATATCCACAAACATGATTTAAGTTTAGATTACATTAAACCAATTACAAAACTGGATGAATTCAACCACAATTTTCATTTCTCATTATTGTATAGATATTTTAGAATAAAATAACTTCATTTTAACCATATTTATTCTTAATCTACATGTACTATCTTTCATATGCCAATGTTCAACCAATGCTTAACAGATGATCTACTTAAATAGCGCTCTGTTTTTCTAAATGCCTTAAATGAAATTATTTTGTGGCACATCTACTTTGAAATTTTAATGCAAAATCATGGAAATTAAATTTGAAATAAAAGTGGTTCAAATGCATTTACATTTCTGTTTCTATTAAGCAAATGTATTTGTAACATGTAGCTGAAGTAAACATCAATATCAAAACTGCTTTGCTTGGTAAGAGGTTGCCTACTTTTACAAAAGGCAATTGATGCTGATTGGTAGATTTTTGTTGTGACACTCACAGAGAAATTTCGTCCTTGATACTAATAGATATAACTAATGTATTGTTGACGGGGATTGCCAGTTTTCCTACCGAAGGTCGGTGGTTCCTTGGGCACTCCGTGGGCCTAAACCAACAAAAACTGATCGCCACAAAATACTTTAGTAGCCAAAAATGCTGAACTGAAAATTGCGTCAAACACCAACAATCAATCATCTTTATATTACAATGTATTTATATTTAAACTATTCAGGAAGTGTATGTATTGTTATTGCGAAATTGCTCTAATTTCCAACTCAAAAAATTAATGTAAGTAAATATAATTGCAACATGTCTCAATTTATTTACAAGAAATTACGTAGTTTGATAGGATTAAATACTTTGGCCGGGCATGAAGAATATTTCAGTGGCTAGCTTATAATAATTTACACTTCCTTAGTAAATGCACGATGCAGTATAAGAAACCAAGGAAACATATAAATATTGAAATATTGAAATATCAAAGTTTCGCTCCCAAACTTTCCCTTAAAAGCATGCATTTCCTGTGTATTATATCCTTTAACATGTTTGCACTTTTAGGTTTGTGTTTTTCAACCTAATATTGACTACATACAAATTGTTTTAATATAGAACAGCTAAAAAAAACTATCTTTTTGCAGATGGCGGTATTTTGGGCTACTGCGTGGGTTGTTATAATTGGCTGTTTAATTAACAAGTAGCGTAATTGCAGTAATTTGATGATGTCAAAAACATCTAAAGCACTAAATAAAATATGTTATTTGGTTTTATGATGAATAACATTTGAATCACAGACAAAAATTTTGGTTTTCATGCATTTTTGTCATTTTCAACGGAATTTCCAGAAAAAATCTGACATTAATATTTCAAAGTGCTTTAGATTAGTAACTATTAACACCTGTTCTAATAGATTTTCATATGTCCATACAAAATATTATTATTCAGAAGATAGAATATGCAAAAATGCTGACATCTTGTAAAATTAGAAATTGTCTGTCCTTGACCTTTCATTGTGATTTGACGGAAACTGCACCTTACGAAATTTTGACGACCGGGCAAAAAATATAGTACAGATGATGTGCTTTCGAATGGTATATGATTTAGCCGTATGTTAGGTGGGTGCATTGAAAATAAAATTTTACGGTTAATGTCACTCGTCTATTGACACTGTTCTGTGTTAAACACAATATGAGTATGCTGCTTCCTCCACTTATAAAAAACTGGGATTTTGTAAGAGGACTTTAATAAGTGATAAACATCAAAATTTTACTAAATTGAATTTAGAAATGTCTTTATATCTCTAGAATGATTAGAATGGCAGTGAATCTCTTGCCAAAGCCCAGGCAGAATATTTTCTATAGAATAGAAAGAAGGAAAAAACTGCATCCAGATTGGTCTAAAAAAAGGCATTTTCGAATATCTTAAGCCCCTTTAGCCTATTTTATTTAGGATGACAAAATATTTGAGTCAAATTGACTGAATAGAATGGTATAGAATTTCATTCAAAGATTAAAAAGAAAAAGCAGAAAAGTTGGCCCTAATTTAAAAATTCAAATTTTGTGTTTTTGTGTTGGATGTTTTTTTCTCCTATAAGAAATGCATTTATTGAAATAGCATATTCTTGAAAAGTTTGCTAAGATGATCTTATATTTTGTATAAATGATGAAATGATGATAACTACCAATATGGATCATAGAATTCAACATAGAACGCTCATAATGGGGGATACCTTGTAAACAGATTCTTCTAGAAAAGGATCTTTTAAAGGGCATTAATTGTCAAATTCATGTTAAACAATTTGACCCAAATTCTCATTATTCATTTATAACATACTAAAACGTGTTTATTCCTGGGGCTCCCTTGTTTCACTTTCCAGTATTGACATTCTTTTTTGTTTAACTAATGAGCCACATGATGAACACATGTGCATCCATCTCCTCTAAAGGTCAAATTAAAAGGCTGCATGAATACGGATTCAAATGAGTTGAATTATTGACGTGCAAGTCAATAATACACCAGTGATGGTTGTTTTTTTTAGCTTATTTTGACCTGTTTTGGAATTGTTGCCCCTAAAATGTCGATTTTTTTCTGTGTTTGGCTGTTATCTGAAAAACTATAGGATGCAACACAAAAATTCAACACTTTTTCACTAAGTGAGCGATACAGGCTCAGGTAAGTTCTTGTTATTATATAATACATTTTTCTTTTGAAATTTTTTTATAAATATATTGTTATATTGAATTTCTGCAGTAAAAAATCTTAAATTTCATTTCAGATGTGATAGTAGGCAGTATATTAGGACTAGTTATATCATACATATGTTACAGACAATACTACCCATCAGTATACAGATCTAATTGCCATATACCATACATTAGTGACAACACATCACGGGACATTGAATTACAACTTATAAAGGATCACATCAACATGGCATAAATTAAAGTAAAACTATAATGATGATCCAGATTAAAGAGGAAAATATCTCTGTAAATTTGTTATTACTTTTAAAACGAACCAGTGCTTGTGTATAGAATGAATATATGTTAATTTATGAAAATTATTTAGATAAAACAATTTTTATTTTTAAAACAGCAAACATTTGTAGTTAAGATTATACCACTAAAATTATAAACTTGTTGTTTATTTTAAATTGTCTTCACATATTTGTTACTTTAGTTTTACATTTTTTTGTATTTATTATGATCATGATAATTAAAAGTATTTTTGCTGGCATTGCTTTTTCTCTTGTGAATATAATGAATAAAATATATTGGCTACAAGGCCTTGGAACCAGTAGAATTGTGTTGTTAACATATACTAGAATCAACATAAGGATGTTCGCTACTTTTGTTTTTTATTTTTGTCCATGTAGTGCCAATAAAAATTTTGTCTGCTTAAACCCCTACTTTTCTTTTCACAATTTTATTACACATAGTTTAAAAAGCCATTTTTGAATGTTATAAAATCCTTATTTTTCATTGTTTTTGAATGAAAAAAGTTGCATATGTTAAATGAATCAGTGTTCCAGCTTGAATCTCAGGGCAGAAGGGTGCTTGTTATCTGAAAGGGCACTTTAGTGTTATAACCCAGATTTTAAGGGCAATGTTGGACAATGTATAAATTTCCTTGAATATTGCTAGGGTCAGCTGGAGAACATTAGTTGTATTTAAACCATATTCAGAAATTAATGTGTTCTTGATGTTGGTTCCAGTAAGAATTTTTTTTTATCAAATTATCATACCATGAAGCAAAGCATACTGAAATAAATTTTTGATGGTGTACATGCTGTACATAAACATTACAAATGGATAACATGTGGACATTTCATTCTGTATTAAATATCTAGTATTTGTTCAATTATCTTAAATCCACTAATTAGCAGTAAACAATCATTAACAAAGGTGATAAAACTGCCAAAGCATTAGGTATTTAACTTAATCCCATTGTCAGTTAATTAAGGCTACACAATCAGGTAACAATTTTACCGGAAACGCCGGTAGGCATGAAATTTGGAAATTTTATTTTTTTTAAAAGGCAGAGGGGGTATTCTTTTACTTTGGAGGGCAGAAGGGCGGGGGTAAGGGCACCAAGGGAGGCCGCCCTTCCATTAAGGGCAGGCGGGAACACTGATGAATGAATAATCAAGAGAGAATCATTCCCGCAAATTTCTTAATTGGTTATATCTTAAAAACAAGGACATGAACCCGTCATTTTTTCTACTTCTCAAGTTCCTTTATTTTTATACTTGTACTCAATTTATAACAGTCTTTTAAAAAGTTGTTATTTTGAAACAGACGAGCGGACATCCTTAAATCCAGGAGGGATATTCATAAAAGAAAAAATATGGTCTTCTAGTAAAATATGCCCTGCAGGAGGATGGTCACATGTACAATGTTTTAATGACAGCTTCATTTATTAACAGTTGTTTAATTTTTGTTACTTATCAAGAAAACATTGTTTTTACCTGCTCCACCAACAGCAAAAGACATGATGTAAATCTACAGGTATTGTTAAACTATCTTGGTATCTGCCTTTATCAAGTGGTTTTTTGAGGTCATAAAACAGGCCTTTGTTTTTTGTTTGAATTGTTACACATTTTGTTATGTCTGACCCTTTTATATTGGACTATACATCAGTCAAGGATATAACTCTATAGGGTTATTAGAGAAAAATAACATACATTTGTTATTGAGGACTAAAAAATCAAAGAACTGTGATAACATTTGTATGTTACATGTATCAAAGGGACAATATACATCATTAGTTTTGTTAAAATGTCTATAAGTGCTATTGATATTACTATTGTCTTTATGTATTCTAAACTATAGAAAAATATAACAGTTCATAGTTTGTCAATCATGCATAGTAAACCTATGTTATTACAGAAAAAATATGCCTGTAATAACTAAAGGGTGTTATTACAGCTTCTCTACATCACTCCAAAGCATTTGCTCAGACATACATCATGCTTAATTACAATGTATTTTAATTCATTGTAAGAAATCATGATCAGAGCATGTAATGAGGTTCTGCGCAAGTTTCCTAGTAATTCCCTAGTGTCTCATATAATAAGTTACATGCCTTTAATAACTAAGTCTTGTTATTACAGCTGAGTTTATCCCTTAAAAGCCTTGTCTCATTGATTTATCATGGTAAATGAAAAATGTATTAATCTAATTCAAAAATTAGTTATCAAGGCTATGCATTAAGTTTCTGCGCAAAGTTTCAAGAGTTCCCTAGAGCCCACTAAAAATTAAAACATTTATGATTTATTTTACAAAAAAACAACATTTGTTATTACAGATTTCAAAAATTGAAGGATTAAAGAGTAGACAACTCATCAAAGTATCTGTAATAACAAATGCAAGATAATTTTCTGTAATAACCCTATAGAGTTATATCTCTGACTGTACATTATTGGTTTTGCTCATTGTTGTAGACTCTACAGTGACCTATCATTAATTATATCTGCTTCATTTGGACTCTGCTGGATAGTTGTCTCTTAAAGACATTGACGATCAATCATGCCACATCTGCTATTTTATACTATATAGAGTTAAGCCATAAATTTTGATTCATAACAGAGGGAGGTCGGACCTTTATCGGGACTCCAGGATTGTCCATTTTTAAGTTCCAGATTTCGGGAAAGAGCTATATTATCATCAGGATTTAGTTTAATCGAGACACGGGATTTATGTGTATTTACGTCCGGGAATTCAGGATTTTTATTCATCAGGACTCTTGTTTGAAAAAAAAAATTGCATTAGCTTACCCCTTCTAGAGCACCTGTGTTTACTCGTGGTTTTTGTAGGAGTTCGTGCATGTTTTTAGCTCACCGGGGCCCAAAGGGCCCCATGTGAGCTTATGCCATCACTTGGCGTCCGTCATCGTCTGCTGTCGTCGTAAACTATTTAAAAAATCTTCTCCTCTGAAACTACTGGGCCAAATACCTTCAAACTTTACCTAAATGTTCCTTAGGGTATCTAGTTTATAAATTGTATCCGAAGTTTTGATCCATCGACAAACATGGCCACCATCGCTAAAAATAGAACATAGGGGTCAAATACAGTTTTTGGCTTATATCTCAAAAACTAAAGCTTTTAGAGCAAATCTGACATGGGATAAAATTATTCAATTGGTCAAGGTCTATCAGCTCTGAAATTTTCAGACGAATTGAACAACCTATTGTTGGGTTGCTGCCACCGAATTGGTAGTTTTAACAAAATTTTGTAGTTTTTGTTATTATTTTGAATATTATTATAGATGTATATAAACTGTAAGCAGCAATAATGTTCAGCAAAGTAAGATCTACAAAAAAGTTAATATGACCATAATTGTCAATTGACCCCTTAAGGAGTTATTGCCCTTTAAAGACAATTTTACACAATTTGTTCATCAAGTTTGCTAACATTTAAAAATCTTCTCATCTGAAACTACTGGGCCAATTACCTTCAAACTTTTACTAAATGTTCCTTAGGGTATCTTGTTTATAAATTATATCCGAAGTTTTGATCCATCGACAAACATGGCCGCCATGGCTAAAAATAGAACATAAGGGTAAAATGCAGTTTTTGGCTTATATCTCAAAAACTAAATCTTTTAGAGCAAATGTGACATGGGGTAACATTGTTTAATTGGTCAAGATCTATCGGCCCTGAAATTATCAGACAAATAGAACAACCCATTGTTCGGTTGCTGCCACCGAATTGGTAGTTTTAACAAAATTTTGCAGTTTTTTGTTATTATTTTGAATATTATTATAGATATATATAAACTGTAAGCAGCAATAATGTTCAGCAAAGTAAGATCTACAAAAAAGTTAATATGACCATAATTGTCAATTGACCCCTTAAGGAGTTATTGCCCTTTAAAGACAATTTTACACAATTTGTTCATCAAGTTTGCCAACATTTAAAAATCTTCTCTGAAATACAGGTGAGCGATTCAGGCTCTTGAGAGCCTCTTGTTTAGTGTTCTGTGTTCTGTTTGTGATTGTTCCTTTTCTACCTGTGTTTATTTGTACAATGGTTTATGTTATATTTAATACTACTTGGATATATTTGCACATTGTTTGTTCTATGGTTTTACAAATGTAAGTCTTTGGATTTCTCTGAAGATACTTTTGTTCATCTTGGTCAAAGTTATAAATGTAAGAGTATTAAAAATTAGTAAACCAAAGGACACGATTACACACAGAAACAAAACAGGATTTAAACAAGATGCGTCAGCACAAGATAGTACATATATTCAAAGAAAAAGTAACCCTTCCAAAGCGTCTAATTTTGACCCACAAAAAATTTGTTTGAGTTTCGTGTTACACAATCTTAAGTTTCGAAGCAGTACTCTACAATGTTATTTACAGAATAATGTCAGTCACTGCGGCAGTGTTCACCCATACCACAGAGCTAAATAGGGCCCATATTAAAATTTTTTAAAAAAGATGGACAAAATTAAATGGCATGACACAAATAAAGAATTACCCGAAAAAACAACATTGAATTCACTGTATACGCACAACTACATGACACTGTATCCTGGCTAGGGACTAGCACAAAAAAAAAAGGCAGAGTATAGAAGAGTGATAACGTATACAATATACTATCATACTCTCAGAGATCATACTCCAAGTAACTGACGAAAATGTCTAGCCTTCTTTTATTGAGCTCAAACTAGTTAACTTATAGACAAAAGTTTTTTAAGTTTTGGAATGTCGCAGTCTCCATGTATATATAATCTGATTTATACTAAGCTCACTAGATTATATTAATAAGATACAGGGAATCTGCACAACAGACTGACGGATTGCTTTGAACAGTATACAATCATTAATTAATGTATTTTGCCCAAAAAGCATGTGTTATTTTATCGGGATTTAGGGATATTGTGAAATAAGGCCCGGGAAATCGGGATTAAGCAAAAATAAACTGGGGATTTCGGGATTGGACCCCCTCCGACACCCCCCCCCCCCCCCTCATAACAGTAAAGTTGTTTTATACCGACTGGCGAGCTAAAAGCAACATATATTTTAATTCATAAATTTAAAATAAAAATGTCTAAAGTTTGTCAATAAAAATTGCACCTGATGGTCTATTTTCTCTGTTACAATAAATTGTTTATTGTGATAGGTATTCACAGGGGAACTTTTTGTGCCACCAATAGCTCTTCTCGTTCTATGCATGTCCAATTTTCAAGTTTTATTTCTGAAATGTGAATTGTAACAAATACAACAGATGATTTCTCCAAAGATCATTTCAATTAACAAATTATCTGTTTGATAAGGTCATGTGGTAATGTTGTGTATTAAGAGTGGGAAAATCATATCTGTCAATTGAGATGGACAAACTGACCTTCAAAGTAAAGTAACTGAATGAATATTTCCAACTTTAGGGTATTTTTTCCCTCCAGAAATAGATAATACAACAATATATTATATTACATGTATTAACATATTCTGTCACAATTCTTGATTATAAGTTAGGAGCACTGGTAAGAAATACCGAAATACAATGTATATGAACATTTTAATACTGGCTGCAGGTATACAATGAAATTAATAAGTTTTAAGTGTCATTTAGCAAGCTTATACACAGCAGTAAGAGTTCAGTAGCAGCTTTAACTTATCTTTGATGAAATGTGTTCATATATATATATATCTACAATCTTTACTTCAGTAGTAGTTGTATAGTTTATAGGCAAGATTGTACATGTAGTCAAATTTGTGATTTTATTTTAGATTACTTCAGTGTTGTACTAACTCAAACAAAGACAATGATGTTGGCTACTTTGTTATGCAGGTAAATGTATATGTACAAAGTGTTGCACAATATGAAAGAAAGAATTCAATGACTTTTCATCAGCTTCACTCTCTATCAGTCTCTTGAGCTCCTAGATATAGTTTAAAGAAATGGGTTGAACTTTCCTTCCAGTAAATTTTAGAAGGTGTACCATTTATTCTGGTCCTTTCTTTTAAGAAAATTCATAACCTCTCAATCTTGGAAAATGTTAAGGTTTCCTGTCTCAACATTGCCACATGGATCATATCTAAACCTTCAATTTTCAGTCAACTGCATGTAGAAGTGTTGTTTATAATAACAACAATGAAAAAAAGAGAGGATATCAGTTCATGAAATAAAATTACTATGCACACATTAAAATACCAAAAGCAAATTAAAGGAACAGTGATTTCATTGCCGATCACATGTAACAGTGAAAGGTTTAAAACATGGAGCACCTAACTGGAAGTTTTAAGATGTTCACTAGAATCCACTGAGTGGATTTCTTTGCTGGATGTTGATCATACTGTACATGTATCTGTGCATTGAAGCACACAATTGCACTCTCTGAAGTACTGTTATACAGGTATATGAACAAATGTATATATAATACAATTATAGTTGGTAATTAAGTTTCATAAACTTGATCATGTTGATCAAAGTACATTTATTATGAGAAAAAAAGTTTTTGAGCATTAGTAATATCATTAAATATTTCATGCACTCTGTAATTTGATACAAGAGGCTTGTCAGTATCTGAATCACTTATCTGGCAAAAATAATATACATGTATCCTTTTAATATTTATTTTTATGTTTTTAATATAACTTGAATGAATTAGACTTTAAAAAATAATAAGCGTAATAACTAAGCTTGGTAAATAATTAAATGTTCCAATGAATAATTGTTGAACTGAAAGGAGCAAATGCATGATTCAAACATGTACAAAAAGTAGACGTACAAGAATGTATAATGTAGCTACTGCAAATTCTTTAAAATATCTCTAAAAATATTTGCAAATGATTCCATACTATATTCTTTAAGTTTTCTTTGTAGTTTCTTCTTAACGTCTTCATTTGCTTTGCTTAATTGACTGAAATAACTACAAATGGTTCGAAAATCCATGGAAGATTCAGCATTGTTAAATTTCCATTCATACATCTCTCCTTCAGGGTAATTCACTGAAAAATGTTGTGCCATATTAATAAGCCAATTTATAAAAATATCTAAAAATCTAAAATCAAGAGAGGATGTCTGCACTAACAAATCAACAGGAACATTTTCAAACGTGATATTTGTATTATGTTGCAAATACTGAATTATAGAAGTGCAAATCATTTGGCTAACATCATCTTCAGTTAGACCTGATTGCAAGTACATCGTAACTATTACAGATATTCCATTTTTGAATTCAGTCATTCTTTGAAGTAATATTTTAATATATGAATCTGCTTTAGTCTCGTTAAGTCTTGGCACAATACTTGACAATCCATCTAATAACAATTTTGCTTGAGAATTCACATTAAGTAGGTCATTCTGTCCATCAGCACTGGACTTCATCATATCCTGACCAATTGTCAAAGTGGTCAAGTTTGATGATAAAACTGAACATTCAGCATCCGTTCTAAAACTGAAACTGTCCTGCTTCCCCATATATGCTAAAAAGAGATTCTCTACTAGACTCTCTGGAAAGTATGGATTCTGCATTAGAGTCAAAAACATTATCTGTGATGCTTTTCCAAGTTCATCAAAACTCATTTGACAACATGATGCTGGTGATAAATGTACTGTCATGACTTTTATCTGCTTGTCCAAGTCCTCTACAAACGATCTGGCCTTTAACTTCATATGAACTTCTTCAGCATATCTTGCCCAGTTAAAGGCGTTCTGTAAACTTTTTGCATCCCATTTCTTGACTTGATCAGAATGGGCTTTGTTTAAAGTTGTAACAAATGTGAATAGTTGTTTCAGAACTGTCTCTACTGACATCGCTGCTGGTTGTAATTGTTCCCGCGTTTTTTACTTCGAATTTTCCCGCGAAATATATATATCGGAACTCCAGGAAAGAGAGTGTTCATTCGTCATGTTTTCTCTTTGTCATTTTTTTTATGCACTTCAAATATTTAATGATTCAAATATTTACACGAAATTTCAAATGTGCGAACACTTAACGTAATTAAACTGTTTTATGTTTTAGAAATCAACACTTCACATGCAATCGAAAACGACAGAAGAGTTCCGAAATTATTTGTTTACATTGTAGCAGGAACATATATATTGACGTTAGATATACTGTTCCCAGATTGTAGAATGGATAACCCAGTAGTTTTATATTTAATGCCACATAAAATTCAAAAGAAGCGATATGATGACATGAAAAAAGCTGCAAAATGTAGAAAATTTAATATAGTGGATGACTTCAGGTGATCAACAATATGAGTCGAAAAACAACCAGTTTCATGCAACATTTACCACACCTCTCCCTAGTACAGACCCTAGTCCCTAGTCCTAGATTGATCAGAATGATCTGACGTCCAACGGCTGTTTTGCCAGACAAGCTGGGCCGTCCCACGGCTAACCAAAACCTTAAATTTATGATTTATCACACATAAGGGAACTAAAAACATTCTTATCAGAAGATCTGAAATTTTATACAATGTACTTATACCTTTTCCCCAACTAACCAGAAACTTAAATTATCACACGTTTGTGATCTAAAAACATTAATATCCAAAGATCTAAAATTTCGTATTGAGCAACTAAATACTTCAGAAGGAACATACGAACTACTAACATGTCTAAAGAACTGAAAATCCAACCAAACTGAAAGCAATTGGGATTCTGCGTCTGGAGCGATTTTCTGATTTGGCAGCAGGAAAATCGCTCTGGACATAGAATCCAAAAAGGGATTACAATTTGTTCAAACAAGATGTCATCATATTTTTTTAAATAAGCCCTCCTATAATAATAAATATCTAAATTGTTAAACTCATCAGTCATGGCAGGCACAATTAATACCAATCCACTGGATAATCAGAGGCCATTGTTACACCAGTATGAAAATAAAGTCAGAACATCTTACATTTTTATTGTACATTACTTAACCTGAAGTTATAGACCATTCTCTCTAATCATTTATTAATTACATGTACCAATCTGTATTCTAGGTTAATTTCATACCATATCATTGTATTTAAAATCTACAATGAAACCCCCATACACAAGCACAATTTACTACATGTATATCCATTACATGTGCATCATCATCAGATCATGGTTTGAGATTGGTTTGAAACTCAAGATCTTGCTGAATTATTTTAAAACTTTAAATGCACAGGAATACACAATAAAACATTTAAACAAATATCCTGTATTATTGAGCATTAGACAGGTTTTGGTCAATGATCTTTTTCTAATTTAAAATTGATGATCTACATGCCAGACAACCCTATGTCATGTTCACCTCTTTGCAGATGACACTATTAACATCGTAATCTTTTAGTAACTGTCACACCCTTCAATCAGACTATAGGTACAATAATTAGAACAATAGAAGCAAGAATGGTTAATGTAAACCCAGACAAATGTGAATTCATCCACTTAATAAGAAAATAAAAACCAATGATTTTTAAACATGCACTACACATTATCAAATATTAAAATCAACAGACAAAGAAAATATCTTGGCATACATGGCATAATTACCATCATAAATGATCAAACATGATATTTATTTATAAATACAATGTAACATAACTACAATTCTATACGACTGTCATACAAGTTAGAGTTTAATATTTATCTAGCTATAAAACTAGGTTTAATCCATCATTTTCTACATAAGGAAATGCCTGTACCAAGTCAGGAATATGACAGTTTGTTTTCCATTCGTTTGATGTCAATGGATGTGGTTGAGCTTCAAATGATTTTGCCATTTGATAAAGGACTTTTTGTTTTGAATTTCCCTTGGAGTTCGGTATTTTTGTTATTTTACTTTTTACAACTAAGCAAATGCAGCACTAAGATTTATCAAGAGGAATGTAAAGACCAACAGTAAAAAATAAGAATTAGCTAAGCAAACATATTTCAGGCCAAAATTTAATTATTGTAGTGTTATAAGCTAGGGATGCCTGGTACACAATCATATTATGGTAGAAACAATAAATAAATAAAATCTAAATGATTCACAGGAGAGCTGCCAAGTATACTTAATTAATACAACTAACATAGTACAGATAAGTGCCATGCTTAAAAACCACAGCTAGTCAACTCTGCAACTGGGAAGAAATCTATCAACTACCATGCTCTTCAAAATTCAACATCACACTAGTTTCCATCTCAAACATGCATTATCATGTACTTTTTACCTTCTGTGAGAACATAAATTTGAACAGCCTAAAGCCCTTAATCATAATAATCTCTAACAAACTTTCATTCATTTTCATTTTGTCTTGCCAGATCTACTAAGTAGTTGGATGAGACTTATGCATGCTGTTGCTAACTGCGACAAAAGCATCAACAAATTGTTTTTGTGATTAGCCCAGTTTTAGGGGAACCACTATACTAATGTTAGATCAATGATATTTAATATTCAGTTGTATGTATTCACTTTTTTTCACATCTCATTTTCATGGAGATTATTATGCCTTGCCCCCTCAGTCATGGTCTATTGACAATTTTTTATTTATTGAAACTTTTGCATACATTGTATTTTGAGAAAAGGTTAGTTTAATCAGAAACACTAATAGTACATCAATGATATTTGGTATGCAGTTGTATTAGCATTGGCATATATATATATGTCATTTCTACAGAGATTATTTGGCCCTGCATCCTTCATTCCTTGGTCATTGTTCATTGACTTTTAAAGTTTTATGTATGTATTGGTACATGACATTGTTTACATATTAAAGTGTTGCTATTTTAACTTAAAAAATTGCATTAAACTATCAATATTACATACAGGTAGACATATGTCTATGAAAACAGTTTATTATAACGAATGCTATGACAATTGAATGAAATTTTTTTATCCTCCTACACATGCATGAAATATTTACCAATGGACATTAAGCAATCAACAATCAATCATGTATTGTTTATATTAATTTCAGGCCTGAAGTTACACATGTAGTTACAGAATTTGATACACAAGAACAAGCAGTGAAGCACATTGGTACAGAGGAAAATAATGAAGAATCACCGGAATTTTTGAACATTTCCTGGTTTACAGAATCTATAAAGGCAAGAAAACCAGTTGAAATTCTGGACCGTCATCGTTTGTTAAGGAATACACAAGAAGAAGTATGTACTTTTATCATGTTTGGTAATGATATGAATTACAGCTCTTATATATACTGTAAATTTTACAAAAATGTACTTAATTTTATGGATACTTTTTTTCAACTGGATAAATATGTTTGTGATTGTCTACCAGTTTTGTATTCATTTAAGACTACTGGTAGATCCAAGTTTGAGAATATTCACAATTATTTAGATTTGTGTTATTTTTCTACTTGCCAAAGTCATGTAAAAAATTGATTAATTTACCTGAGTAAAAAAAAATATCTTCTAAAAAGACGAAAATACATGTTTCAAATAAAAAAAATGCATGTGATGTATTTTTTCAATAACGATAATATATTTTCAATCTGTTCAATATAAACACTGATTTTATTATAAAAAGTTGATTTCTGACAAAATTTTCAACATTGTTCCTATTGAAATTTGTTTTTTTGTGTGTTTGACAAATTAAAACCGGAAAATGACAATGTTTAAATTAAGGCCTTCTTAATTGTATTCTGTAACTAAACAAAAACCAAAAAAAAAATGCAAATTTCAATAGGAACAATGCTAAAAATTTTGTCAGAAATCAACTTTTTATGATTAAATAAGTGTTTATATCATGTATATTGAACAGATTGAAAATATATTATTGCTATTGAATAAATACAAAATCACATGCATTTTTTTAGTTGGAACATGTATTTTTATCTATTTAGAAGATAATTTTTTTACTCAAGTAAATTAATCAATGAGTGATGGATTTTTCTTAGAAGAAATTTTTTAAAGGTCCCAGTGAATAAACTACACAGAGAACAATAGTTAATGTATTTATTCAATAGGACAATAGAATTGCCAAAAGTTTAAATAGATTGAACAATAGATGAATCTGTGGAAAAGTTTCATTTGGTTTGCAATAATAAATGGAAAATTTGATTTCAATATATGTTATTCGAAGCTGTCTCTTGTCATAGAAACTTAAAATGTACAGTACACTCAAGATGTTTCAAAGAATGCCATTCTTGGTGGTAATTTTCCACAGTGAATTCTGGTGTTAAGGAGTGATTCACTTTGATAAACAATATTGGAGACTTGTGTAAACAGAAGTACAATGAATATTTCCTTTGGAAACTTTTAACACTTATCAGTTGTTATAAGGTGATTTAGTCAAAATTATTCTTAGTGGTGAATTTTCTTAATATATGCCAGTGATTGTTCCAGACCCACTTTAAAACATCTTTCTGTTTATTTCAGATATAATATGTCATGGTATTATCACTCCAAATCACAATCATCCTGATTTACAGTAATTCAATCAACACCATTGTGACCAGCAAGAGTGATTTTTAGCTAAATCACTTTGTGTACTGTAAATTCAGAAATTATTGCGAGGTTTTTATTAATGTGATTTATGGGACTGGGTGAGTATCGCAATAATAAGAACTCACATTTTAACATCTGATACATATAACTGTATGCAGATTTTACTAAAATCGCAATAATTAATCTCACATTCTTGTCCATTCTTCCAGAATCGCAATAATAAATGAAAGCAATAATTTCTGAATTTATAGTATCATGTAGTATATTGTTACTGGGTTGTAAGTCAGAGATATTGAGTGTTATCACTCTTATTATTCCACTGCATGTACATATTGATAGTTTAATCAATATTTGATTGGTTGAGACTATCCCGTGTGACATTGAACAAAACTTCATATTCCCCTCTGAAGATCGGTCTTCTTCTTGCGACGTTTATGTGCGGTTAATGTACATAACATTTTCAACGAGTTTGTTTATAAATAGCGATATTAAAAGTCATTATCATGTTCAAAATTATTTCAGACGTTAAAGCAAAAAGACTTATAATTAACTCTTGATCAGTACTATTTATCAATGTTAATGTCGTGTTTAGTTATAAAAACAAGCGGATAAAAAATAAATGTAAGTGAATTAATATTTTATGTTCCGGTATGTAAACAAAGTACAGGCAGTGGAATAAAACATTCATTTCCTATGGCATCGGGAGATATGAAGATTTGATCATCCTTGAAAAGTCATATTTCCCTCGTGAAATATGAATTTCAGGGGTGAACAAATCTTCATATATCCCTCAGGCACGGGAAATAAATATATAATAGCCAGCAATCATCCTGTTTCACTTTGATTCCCTCTAGACCAACACGGTTGATATTTGATAAGATAAAATAATCTTGTGTGTTCTTGGGAGTCTGAAACCACTTATAAATAAAAGATAAACAGGAAGTGTTATTTTTAAAAGATATTTATTTTTTGTATCATATAAATTTTTGTTTAAACCATAAGTCATTGAATGAATATTACTATATTGCAGGTAGAAGAAAACGAGGAGGCATCAGAACCTAGATTTCCAGAGTGGGCATGTCAGAGATCGACACCATTGAAACATCAAAATGATTTTTTGGCTGTAAGAAAACTAAATTTTCATATGAATTTGTGTTTGAAGTACATGTATTCATATGATTGCAGTGATCCCTTCAAGTTTGATATGTGTAATTTGACCTTTCCCTCATTGACTTTCAGTATATTATTTAGTTGTTATGCCATAATTTACGAGACGTAGTGGAGGGGGCATTAAGTTTTACTCTTGTCCGTCTGAACATCTGTACGTACGTACGTACGTCCCAAAATTGGTTTCCGTTTTCTAAATTGAGTTTCCCTCAACCAAATGTTATGAAACTTATACACAATGCTAATTACCACAAAACACAGATCAAGTTTGAATTACAAAACACAGATCAAGTTTGAATTGTGGTGTCACTTTAACCGTTCTAGAGTTATGCCCCTTTATAAATGAAAAAATTACAAAATTTTTAGTTTCCGTTCTCTAACTTTAGTTTGCCTCAACCAAATGTTATGAAACTTATACACAATGCTTATTACCACCACATACAAATCAAGTTTGAATTTTGGTGGGGTCACTTTAACCGTTCTAGAGTTATGCCCCTTTATAAATGAAAAAATTACTAAATTTTTAGTTTCCATTCTCTAACTTAAGTTTGCCTCAACCAAATTTTATCAAACTTATACACAATGCTTATTACTACAAAACACAGATCAAATTCGAATTTTGGTGTCGTCACTTTAACTGTTCTAGAGTTATGCTCTTTTATAAATGGAAAAATTGCAAAATTTTAGTTTCTGTTCTCTTACTTAAGTTTGCCTCAACCAAATGTTATGAGACTTATACACAATGCTTATTACCACAAAATACAGATCAAGATTGAATTTTGGTAGCGTCACTCTAACTGTTCTAGAGTTATGCCCCTTCATAAATGGAAAAATTGCAAAATATTTAGTTTCCGTTCTCTAACTTGAGTTTGCCTCAACCAAATTTTATGAAACATATGCACAATGCTTATTACTACAAAATAAAGATCAAATTTGAATTTTTGTGGGGTCACTTTAACAATCTCGAGTTATGCCCCTTTATAAATGGAACAAAATGCAAAATTTTTAGTTTGCGTTCTCTAACTTAAGTTGCCTCAACCAAATGTTATGAAACTTTTACACAATGCTTTTTACCACAAAACACAGATCAAGTTGAATTTTGGTAGCATCACTTTAATCATTATCGAGTTATGCCCCTTTATTAATCGAAAAATTGTAAATTTTTAGTTTCCGTTCTATAACTTAAGTTTGCCCCAACCAAACATTATGAAACCTGTACACAATACTTATTACCTTAAAACTCAGATCAAGTACAAATTTGGGAAGTGTCACTCATCATTCTTGAGTAATGTCCCTTTACAATGCTGTATGCAAGCAGGGGCATCATCTGTGTCCATGGGGACACATTTTCCATTTATTTATGTTATATCAATTGTGCAGGTCAGAGTTTTCTGTATGTGTATTCTTGTTTGTACTTTGGATTGTTTTTTTATATTATCTTTGATGATAAAATATCTGTTAATATTTGAAAGGTTAACAATGCTAATAATTACTGTAAATTCAGAAATTATTACAATGTTTTTATTAATGAGATTAACACGACATGGTGATTATCGCAACAATAAGAACTTGCATTTTGATATCTGATACATATATATGTATGCAGATTTTCCTGAAATCGCAATAATTAATCTCACATTTTTGTCCATTCTTCAAAATCGTACTAATAAATGCATGCAATAATTTCTGAATTTACAGTATGCTTTTAAAATGCATGGTATTTAAAAATTGATATACTGAGTAAAACAGTAAGGTAATTTGAATTTTAATGAGGGAGAAAAATAACACAACTTTTAATTATTTCAACTTTTAATTGATTTTAGAATACATAACAGAAATGTAAACATAATCAATTCCAAATTGATTATACACCAATTATTTCACACAATTGATTCCTGATTTGTACGCCCTGCCTACAAAAATAAGGAGCATTATCTTTTCCAGTCTATTTGTCTGTCCATCCTGTATTAGTTTAATATTTGGGTTTGAGGAAGTTCCATATAAAGTTGTGGTCACATCAACTTTAAACTTTGTTTAACTTTTCATTATGATATAAACTTTTAAAAGTGTATCTCAAGTTTAGGTTTGACCCATAATTCAGTGAAGCAGCAACCCTGCAGAAAAAGTTAACAAAAATGAATATGTGTATTAAAAATCACCATACATTGTACCTTCAACAATCTGTTATCCTCACTAAATATGGCAAAATTTGTCATTTAGCGTTCAGAAGAGATAAAGATCAATTTTTAGTCCAAATAAGGGACCTATGGCCGAGTGGTCTAAGTAGTTCCACACTAGTGATAACTAGCCTGTCAACACTGAGGTTGTGAGTTTGCAACCACGCTCGAGGCAAGGTGCTCTCTACTTAATTGACAAAGATTGCCAGTGTTCCTGCTGAAGTTTGTGGTTCTCTCTGTGCACTCTGGCTTCCTACACCACCAAGAACTGTACGGCATGATATAGCCAACAGTGCTGTTAAACAACAACAATCTATCAGTCCAGATGGAAAAAAAAAAATGGTTTAACTGAGAGTTATTCCTTGCCATGTAAAAATTCTTATTTTGTTTTTGTTAATGGATTTTTTAATAATAAAAATGAATTGAAAAAATAGGAAATTGCATGTATAGGCGCATATAAGATTTCTTGTGGTGCTATTTTTTATATATAGATGGTGATGCGTTGATAAAAAATGATTTTTTTTAATTGCAGACACAATTAGAGATTCTTCAAAAATATGCAGAGATGAAGGATGAAAACAATGATTATTCCAGAGCACTGGCCTTTCGCAGAGCATCCTGTGTGGTCAAAAGTTTTCCTGTTACTGTGACAAATGTTAATCAACTAAACGGGATAAACCATGTTGGTCCACATAGTAAGAGAGTAATCGGGGTTAGTAGAACCATCCATGGCTTTAAGTATATACTGAAACAAAATCATTGAACATTTAATTTACTCAAGTAAAAATGACTAAATTCAGGTTATCTTTAAAATGGGCAAAGTCAATGCTTTTCATGACTTATTCTTTTTTTTTTATATAAATTTTATTCAAACTTGAGCATAAAATAGTGTAACGGAACATGATAAAAATATATGTTATCAATTTGAATGCAGTTTTTTTACTGATTTTTCTGTTGTTATAAAAAACAATCATTATAACAAATTTTAATCTAGATAATATGATAAAAAAGAACTGAGTCAATATAAACTATTTTAAACAATGTTAGAAATGTAAATGTCGAGATTATAATTAATATCGGAAACATTTAATTAGTATCAGTAAAAGAATATGCTACTGCAATGTAAATGCCTGATAAATCTGCTTTGCATCATCTCCTTTGGAAATTTAATTGCCAGGATATGCTGAATTCAATGATTTATATTTGGTTTTATTTTGAAATCATGAGTTTATATATTCATTAGGAATTACTGGATGGGTATTGTGATGAGATCAGTCGAATAGTAAATGAAGAATGGTTCGAAAAAATGAAGGTAAATTTAAGCCTTATATTTTATACCTCATATATTTCAAGGTACATGTTGTTACTGATATTTCATTATGCATGCCAAATTACTATTGCGCTTTTTTAGACATTTTGTTTTTCTTGAATTACAGTCCTAAATACTTCTAAGAACCCACCTCATTTGAAATGAAAATTTTGGCAAAAAAGGGGAAAAGATACTAAGCATACTAAGGGGCAACCAAAAACCATTATCTGAAGTAAAACAACAATGCCATGTCCAACAAAAAAATTATGAAAAAAAAAACATTTTACAGAAAACTAAATATTGAATAACAAGAATTTCACTAAAAACCAGAGTTTAACAGATTAGGACATCATTCTGAAAGTTAATGAAATAAACATTTTGCATCAAATTTTAGTGTTATTGCCAAGAAAAAATTTCAAAATGACCTTTACTTTTATGTTTAATCATTGCAAAAATATAAACATAAAAAGAAAGAAAATATGGGAAATAAGTTGACTATTTTTAAAGATACTGTGGGTTCATTTATTTTCGTGGGTACCAATTTTCATGGATTGAGGAAAACTTGCATATTCGTGGATATTCAATTTCGTGGTTTGGGCAAAGTCTGGATACAATCCTTTAGACAATTTGTAATTTGTTGAACATTTAAATTCGTGATTGCTCTGTACCAACGAAATCCACGAAAATTAGTATCCAACGAATATTAATGAATCCACAGCAATAAATATAAAACTAGACATGGACAAGTCACCAAACGATAGACAAGCTTCCTTACAACAAGCTCTTTTTAAATCAACACAAGTCTGGCAAAAGTGTAAGCAAATTGGTATGACTCATAACATAACACAAGATTTCCATGGCTGAGAAACTCCTAGGTCATAGTTATAATCATTCTGTGATTTATTTTTCAAAGCTTTAATCATTATTTTCTTATACTCGTATTTTTAGAAGTTTCATTTTCCTCAAATTGCTTAGCATGATTTTAATTGCATTAAATATTTCCTTATTCCTGTACGTGAGATCAATGTAAAGTGTATTTATGATTAAATGAGAAGAAGTGTATACATAATACTGACAGCAAACCAATTATGAAAATCAAAAATACATCTAGAGGTCAAAATACGGTTTTCAACAAAAGACAAGTGTTTTAACAATATGTTGAAGATCAAACACCTCTTCATTTCTCATGTAAAATAATATTTTTTACAATTATGCATGTATAGCATCTTTAATTTTGTCCCAGAAAATGACATTGCCGTGCTCATCATTGGGATACTCAATGTATGACTGTTTCTGTATCAGTTCATATAAGACTAGTGGTAACTCTTTTGGAAGCAACTTCTCATAAAATACGAGAAATAACACGTTTTTTCCATTCCTCGAATGAATACTTTCCATTCTTGCCATGTTGAATTCAAGCATACAGTAATAAGACTCAAGAAAAGATCGGCTAATTATGCATATAGTTTTTCGGCTGTTTTGAATAGCGCTGATGATATTTTGTGTTATCTCTTCTCCTGGTATGAAATCTCGCTGATGTATGCATAATTTCATATTTCCATTTTCTTCAAGATTTTTGATACATTCTTCTATAATAAATTTTTGATCATTTTCAGAATAAGAAATAAAAGCATCGTAAACATATTCATTTAGATTTTCTTCCATGTTCCTGTGAGATGTGTACTTTAACTTTGCTGTGTAAAATAAATAACGCAATTTCCATCTGTGTCTATAAAAAATAGCTGCTGATAATACTGCTATAAAAGCCAAAACAGTAAATGACACACTTATTATCAAATAAAATTGATTTGAACAGTCTCGCTGTAGATTAAGTATTATGTCTTCAAATGAATTGGGCATCGAAAAACTTCCATTTTCAAATGTACATCTGAACTGCATAAAATTGGTAAAATGTTTATGACCAAGCCTCATCCAGTTCAAAAATGGCAATGTAAAACAGCTACACTGAAGAGGGTTATTACTGAGGTCAATTCTTGCATTGACATTGTTCTTGATAACCTTGTCTAGCTCCTTTATTGATTGGTCACTCAAATATTTTATTTGATTGTTTTTGAGATTTAAAATCTCTAAATTCACCAGAGAAGTCATATCGAAATTACTAGCTTTCAGAAAATTAAATCTTAAATCAATAACTCTGAGGTACTTTTGTCCGATGAAGATTGTAGTGTGAAGTTTGTAAATAGAGTTGTTTGACAGACTTATATATTCCAATTTACTCTCTTGTATCCAGAGGCTATTATTTGCCAGATAATTTCCAAGTCTGTTATCGTCTAAATTTAGAAATGTGACTTGTTTGATGTTTAGTTTTAATGCCTCCAAAGAATTATCACAAAGATTAAGAGTTCTAAGGCTTGGTGGCACTTTTACAGGCATGTCCCATTCATTAAACTGTACTTTTAAATTATTTGTAAAATGCAGTTCTTGAATAGGTGCTTTATTCAATTCAACACTTATATTATTCATTATGTTTGAAAGAGAGACTGAGTAAACTGAATTGAAAAGATAATGCATTTTAAGTATTTCAATGGTTGTATTTGACAAACCAGCAATTAAAGCAAGCAGTTCATCTTCATGTATATCTGGACGATACCAAAGTGATCCATTAAGTTGTAATAATTTCAGCTTCATTAATTTTGAAAATTCATCATGTTTTTTATTGTATACATTAAATGAACAATGGTTGAAATATACATGTGTTAAATTTGGTGTGTACTTGAACGTGTCACTTTCTAGAATAAATGTTTGACAGTTACAAGCATTGAGTAAATAAAGGTTTTTAAGGGAGGAGAACCCATTCCCAAGAATTGCTTTATCACCAAAACCAGTATTAACGTCCAGTTCTAAAATTTCTAGCATTGTTAAATCAGAAATTGTTTTATCTGGAAAAACTATATTACGAAAAATTTTGGGCGAAAAATTGTTGTTTTGAATAGAAAGCCTTGTGAGCAATTCTAAAGGTTTAAAACTTCCTGTTGGAATGCTGGATATGTTATAATGAAGTTTATTATCATTCAAATGAAGATTTTGAAGGTTTTGAAGTCCTACAAATGTTTGTTCATTTATTCTTTCCAATGTATTGAATGATAGATCCAGATCGGTAAGCCATGACATATATTCAAAGGTTTTATTTAGCATTCCACTAGTCAACTTGTTATTGTTCAATTTTAGATGCTTCAGGTTTCCAAGTCCATTGAATGTTTGATCGTTCATTGTCTGTAACTTGTTGAAAGAAAGGTCAAGTACTGTTAAATTAGTCATATGTTCAAAAGTACTGTTTGGTATTTGGGTTATGAGGTTATGTTGTAAATTTAGATAAACTGTGTTTGGTGGTATATAGGGAATGTTTTTCAGATTTTTATATGAACAATCAACATTAAGTTCTCCTTTCTTGTAGAACTTTGCACAGGGGAATTCCAATTGAAAATTTCTAGGAGAAGCATTGTTAATATCTAGAAAATTGCTGCTAAACAGTATCATCATGAACTTGGTGAATATGACTGCATCCATAATGTTCAACTTGGCAGTTTTTCTGAATTGTTACTTATCTGGAAGAAAAACATTGAAGTATACTATTAAATGAGAAATTAATGCATGCACTTATTATTGTAATCCAAGGAACCCAAGCAAAAATGCAATGTTTTATTTTTGCTATCTAACGAGATCTCAAATATTTTTTGTAAGTTATTAATCATTGTAGGTCACGATGTTTACATTTTCTATAAGTAAACATCGTTTTTTGATTCATTGATAAGATAACCTTCAATTATTTTTCTGTAAATGAATACACATTTCTCATCTGGTGTCACAATTAAAGGGATCTAGAAACGACATACATAATTTCAGCTTATTGTTTCATGCCAACTTTGAGGATCTAGAAACTTGTTTGAACCATATCATGTGTAGTGCAAGGCCCAGCTTTGGTTATTTGACACTAATCAGAAAGTTCAAATTATGAATATATTTGAAACTTTTTTGTCTTTATAGAAACTTTGAACTTATAGGATAGGAAAGATTATTTTAGAAATGAGAAAATACATTAGAAAGGTATACAGCTTCTCTAAAGGACATTTTTGTCTTTTTTATCTCACAATCTAAATAACTAAATGAACATTTTTATATCCCTGCCAAACAGAGTGGAGGGTATATAGGAATCCTCATGTCTGTCCATCGGTCCATCACACTTTTGGTTTCCAGACGAAAAATAGAGAACCTGTTTTGAAATGATTTGGAATTTTAATGGAATGTTTTGGACCACTAAAGACAGATTAAGTTCTATTTTTCATCTTTTTACTTTTACTGTTTTAGAGTTATGGTACTTGAATGCTGGAAATATTATAATTTTTTTTGTTTCCTGATGATAGATAGAGAATTGTTTTTTGAAATTAATTGAAGTTGAAATGGAATATTTTGGACCACTTAAGATCAGTTTTGGTTTGATTTTCATATTTTGTACTTTTACTGTTCTCTCATGTACTTGATTGTTGAAAAAATTCTAAACTTTTTGGGTTTCCAGATGGCAAATAGAAAACCGCTTTTAGAAATTAATTGAATTTTTAATGGAATGTTATAGACCACTAAAGACGGGTAAAGTTCTATATTTGGTCGGTTGCACTTTTACCTTTCTAGAGTTATGGTTTTGATTGAAGGGAAAAATTCTATTATTTTTGGTTACCAGATGATAAATAGAAAACGGCTTTTTAATATTGATTGAAATTTTAACAATTTTAACGGGATGTTTTGGACCTCTAAAGACCGGTTAAATTATATTTTTGTTGTTTTTACTTTTACATTGTTCCAGAGTTATGGTACTTGATTGTTGGAAACATTTGAATTTTTTGGGTTCCAGATGACAAAAAGGGAACTGATTTTTGAAATTAAATTAAATTTTGATGGGATGTTTTGGACCACTAAAGACCAATTAAATGATATTTTCATTGTTGTCGAGCCTGCGACTTCTGTCGCAGAGAGCAAGACATAGGGAT